TGTGTGTGTGTGTGTGTGTGTGTGTGTGTGTGTGTGTGTGTGTGTGTTAACCTCTATAGGCAGCTCAGCTATGTGAAAGAGTGCTGTGAGGGAAAGCCAGAGGGAGACGGAGTGGCTGCTCTCACCTCAGAGGAGAGGACTCGGTGGGCGCTGGTAAGGGTCCTCAAGTTTGGAGATTTTGATGTTCATCATGGTGAATAAGTTCTAAAATACATTTGTGAAAAAGTTGTCTTAATACAAAAGAGGATTGGTACTTTCAGCATTTACTCTCTCTCTGCAGGCCAGGGAGCATCTAATAAGCATTGATCCACACAATAACACCATCCTGGAGACCATCCAGAGCAGCCTGTTCATCATTTCTCTGGATGAAACAAAACCCTACTCCACTCCAGAGAACTACACAAATGTACGAGCTGCACAAAGTTGAATCACTAAAGATTTCATAACATAGTGTTCACTGTTTTCTAAAAGACAAGAGTTGTGTGTCTGATTGTATGAACACAGTTGACCGTGGAAGCCCTTAAAGGAAATCCCACCATCCGCTGGGGTGACAAATCGTACAATTCACTCTCGTTCGCAGACGGCTCTTTTGGATCCACTTGTGATGTGAGTTTGTATGTGCGCGCCATGCTAGAGGAGTTTCACCACACTGTGAAACACATTTTTAGTGCAAGATTTTCATGCTGCTCATCTTGGAAAGTTCCTGTCAAAAAGCAAATAATTCTTAAATTGTTAACATAATTTTTAAGGAGTTGTAAAATAATAAAAGATTGTTTTGCAGCATGCACCATATGATGGCATGGTACTGATTTCCATGTGTTGGTATCTGGACCAGCAAATCAAAGTTACAGAAGGCAAATGGAGGGTAAACATTGACTCCTATTTATTCTCTACATATATTTGAATAGGTCATCTGTCCACTTTTCATACGTCTGTCGATGCTTTCTAGGGCTCAGAGGCAGTCAGACCCGTACCCTGTCCTGAGGAGCTGGTGTTTACCATCGACGAAAAAGTCCAGAGTGACATACGCCACGCCAAACAGCAATACCTTGAGTCGGTGAGCCAGTATTCAACACCAAACTACAGTAAAAAAAAAACAAAGCCTGATGCAAAATGACTGAGTCACAGCTGTGTTGGTTTCCACTCTGTCGCTGGTTTTACAGACACAGGACCTGCAGGTTGTGTGTTATGCCTTCACAGCATTTGGAAAAGCAGCCATCAAACAAAAGAAGTTGCATTCAGACACCTTTGTTCAACTAGCGATGCAGTTGGCCTACCAGAGAATACACAAAAGGTACAGACTGGTTTCATATAGGGCCATGCATTTACTGATGTTTGAAGTGTGAGGTGAACGGCCCCGACTGTCTCTTCTTACCCCTCAAAGGCCAGGAAGTTGTTATGAGACAGCAATGACTCGCAAGTTCTACCACGGCAGGACGGAGACGATGCGACCCTGCACCCAGGAGGCTGTGAACTGGTGTAAAGCCATGATGGACCCCACATGTGATGTGAGTGTGTGCATGTCTGAAAAAAACCCTGCACTGTGACAAAAACAACACAGAGTATGGAGGTGGAAGCAGTCTTTGCTTATTTGACATGTTGCATAAACATTTTTCTGCCAGGTTGCTGCCAAGAGGAAAGCCATGCTGCTGGCCTTCAATAAACACAACAAACTGATGGCTGAAGCCGAGGAAGGAAGAGGTTAGTTCACTTTACAAACATGTACTTGCGTAATATTCCTATATATCACCGTTCAATAGTTAAGACAATCCTGTGTAAGCAGATCTCATCAAATAGAAACACTCCCTAAATCGACAGTTGCCGTTGGTAGCGGTGGCTCACCAACAAATTTAACAATTTAGGAAGTAGAACAGAGTAATTTATCTACATACCATATACATTGTCAATAAGAGGAACAGTCAAAGAATAAAGTACATTAGGCCCAACGGTAAATTACAAATCTGTTTAGCATGCTTTATTAGCTTTATAACTATGGCTAGCTTGGTTAGCAGTAAACTGTTAGCAGGAAAACTTCAACAATCATAAAAAACAGCAATGATAAAAAGAGAACCTATAATGGTTCAACAAGGGAAAAGTGAGACGAGATAACTGCCTGTCAACCGTTGATTGGTCACTTAGGTCTCAATTTCTTTGTATTTTTATATCAAAATTGAATCATCTTTTCTTCCTGTTAAACCAAATATGAAGTGTGCTTATGTAAGCTAGTACCAACCAATTTCAACCAATTATATCATGACATCATCCATCAATCAATTGCAACTTTTAGAGACTAGGGGTGTGTGTGTGTGTAGAGCCACAGTCCTCTGTAGCTCCATATCACGCAACATTCTGAGCCCTTCCACATTTTAACTGTTCAATCAAATGTGAAGGATTTGATTTAAATCCCTCTCAAAACTGCACACTGCTAACATATTCTATTTCACTCGGAAACACTCACAGTACAGAAGCTAAAGACGCTCTAACTTCCGTTTCACTGCGGTGTTGATCCAGGTTTTGACAGGCATCTCTTTGGGCTGTATCTGATTGCCAAAGAAGAGGGACGACCCACTCCAGAACTCTTCATGGACCCCCTCTATGCAAAGAGGTACTGTCTGTAAAGCTAGTCAATGTTTTTTGAAACTGTGTGTCTACACCAGGGTCTGTACTGCTTGTATCATCATGGACATGTAGGTGTCCAAAATCCATTTAGTAGACCTTTTTCAAAGCATACAGTTAAATTGTCATAGCAGGATTTTACGGGATGGTTAGAAAATACTTCTGGATTTTACATTCTGATAAATGGTCTGTTTGATAAACTGAATTATTAAGCAGACTCAGGACAGTGCATTAGATTGTAAATTGTTCGGGAGGTCTTTCTGTCTGCCTGTAACTGAGTTGTTTTTTTTTGTCTGCAGCGGTGGTGGTGGTAACTTTGTGCTGTCGTCCAGTCTGGTGGGCTACACTACAGTTCTGGGGGCTGTGGCTCCCATGGTGCACCATGGCTATGGCTTCTTTTATCGTATCAGAGATGACAGGTGGGCAGACAAGACACAAGCATGTTTCCATAAGGCTGTTTCTTCTTCAGAAACTCTTTATATATAGACTGTAAATTAACCTACAGACTGGTGTGTGAATGTGTAACCAGCCAAAAATGTTCTCGGTGGGTACCGTTAACATCACCAGTTGAATTGTAACTACAAAATTTTACATCCTTTGGGCAGATAAAACCCCTTAAAAACACAGGGTCAATTTAAAAATGGCCGCTGGTCAAGCCAAAATCAAAGCGTCTTTTCGTTGTTGATTTTCAGAAATGGTAATGATAAGCATCAGTGTCAGTCGACTGTTCATTTCAAGTTTGAAATTGTGTGTAACTTCCCTGCAGTTTCAGAAACTGCATTCATATCTACACTGTCTGTTTTTCCCTCCAGGATCGTTGTCTCAATCTCAGCGTGGAACTCTTGCCGTGAGACAGATGCCGTGTCACTATTCAACAACTTCTGTAGCTCCTTGCATGAGATGTTCCACCTGGCCACCACATCTCAGCTATGAGTGCTCACACCAACACATCAATGCACACACGGCTCATTAACCGCTAATAGCCAACAGCTAGCGAGCGTCATGTTTGTTCTCAGCAAAGATGAATGCAAAGGTACACAATCTGTACTGCTACGTGATAGCCACTGGCTTTGGCATTAAAACACATTTATTAACTTTTCTGCTTCTTGAAGTGATAAATAAGACATTCTTAGAGTAAATTGTTTTTTCTGAGTATAGATTTTTCATTTTTAAATCTTGACTATTTCACATTAAGCTGATGCTAAGGCTCAAGTGAGTAAATATTCAACTGACACTCAAACTGTTCTTAAGGTGGACAATGAAGAAAATAACCACTGGCTGTTTTCACTGTTGACCTTAGACTTTTTGTTTAGAATAAATGAAAGGCATTCCAATCAAACCCATACTAACTTTAACTTAAATAGAATAACTTTTTTGTTTTTGGATTGGTGAAAATCTACAGATGTACAGTATGTAACAACAGTACTGAGCTATTAAAGTTGGACTGAAATTGAAAACACAATTTTTCCTAAGAAATCAGTTTATATCATCTTGCCGTTTGTTTTGAATCTTGAAATAGATGCTTTAAAATCCAGTTGGACTTGAAACTTTTTGAAGACGAAGGTTCCTTCCCTTACGTCTGCACTTGCCACATAAAACAGCCGTGTGACCATATTTCTCCCCAATTTAAACCAGCATTTCCTCAGCTGGTGAAGGTGGAGCTAGATGGGCCCTAAGCTATGCTATGCCTAGACTAACAAAATCTAGAGATACAATATCGAACTCAAGTTGCCTTCCAATCTATTGAGGTGTGGCACATTGTGCCCATGTTGGCTGTGTGCTGATTATTGCCTTGTATTTGGTCACTGCACCTTATAGGGCCAGCACACTATGCAGCTTTCTTTTTTGTGTTCTCTGTCAAGTTAATGACTGCTATAACCATAAATAAACCTCAAAAACTGATTATTTTTTCTTCCACTATTCCTCTGCATTTAAAGTCCTTGAAATTGCAAAATGTGAATAAGGTTTTACTTCCTTCCCAAATGAAATCAATATCTCTTATTGTCAACAATACTAAATGTATGATTTTATAAATGTAGCAAAGATGTTCTGACAAATAAAGGTGAAAGATTTCCATCTGTTTAATTGTTTTGTTAAATGGGCACCATAATGTTAAAATGAGGAGATGTTTCAATAACTGAATACAAAACTTTAATAGTTGCATTAAGGCACATTCTACAAAAAGGGTTAGTAATTCTTGCATATGTAGAAACAAAATAGGATTTGTGGGTTAAACGGTCCAAAATCTGTCCAAATACATATACGGTAGAACATAACTTATTTGTCACATTGTGTATTTAAACCTGTGCTTCTCTTTCTGTCACATGTCAAAATATCTTCTGTGAAAAAGGTCCATAAAAGCAACAACTAATAAACAGTATTACAGAAGTTAGACTTGGCTTTTTGACTGAAAATTAACTTGTCTAATTTGATTGTAACCAAAGTATGAGAGGCACAGCTGAAAGACAGATTCTCCTAAAGCTAAACGGTTACTGAGTTACATTTTTTTAAAGAGAGGTGTAGTATTGCTCCCGGTGTCCTCTGCTTGTTCTCTTATTTCCTCTGATGGCCCATCTGTTTGTTGACCAGCATGTGGTAGACGCCCTTTTGGGCCAGCAGCTGTTGATGTGTCCCCAGTTCGGTCACCACTCCTCCATTGAAGACAGCGATGCGGTCTGCATTCTGGATGGTGGACAGACGATGAGCCACAATGATGCATGTCCTGCCCTTACTGGCCTCGTCCAACGCCTCCTGCACCACCTAGAAAGAGCAGAAAGACAGTGACCTCACATGTACATACACAAGGCAGACTGCAGCGCATCACTCGCTCTGCGGAGAAGGTGAATGGCTGCAATCAGCCGTCCCTCCAGGACGGAAGGCTATGGTCCATCAATAACAGGTACTTTCCATCCACAGTTGGATCCTCTTCTATAACCACATTAAAAGATCAAATTTAACACTGTAACCAACAGTTAAATAGTATTTCAACACCTCTGTGCAATGCATAACTTATTTTCCATTTAGTAGAATTGAAATGAGATTTTCTGCTTTAATAGATTTTTTTGTATTGTCATTTTCTTGTTCATTGGTCTTTCTGGTGCTAGCATCATTTGTGGGAAGGATTTATTTAGCAACTGGTGACTTTGTTTATGCCCTCTCCCCCAACACTCACCTTCTCACTCTCAGTGTCGAGTGCGGAGGTGGCCTCGTCCAGGAGCAGCACTTTGGGGTTGCGGAGTATGGCTCGGGCTATGGCTATACGCTGCTTCTGTCCACCTGACAGCTGAGCTCCTTTATCACCTGCCTGAGTGTCGTACTTCTGCTCATACAAACACAGAGAGACAGAGAGACACACAGAGAGAGAGAGAGACACAGACAGAGCATTATTTATATATTGCCAAAATAGTGACAAAAGCATCCACAATCACAGTTTTTATTGTGAATACTTTGTACTAAGAAATGTTCTGGTTGCACCGTTTTGCAATTAACTGAAATTGATTGATTAGAAATGTACCATTTTGAGCACTGGCTACATTTGTTTATCTATAGTAAGTACCAATTTGCATATTTCATCTCACAACACTTCCTCTGAAATTAAGAAATTATGGATCCTTATAAATAAAGCAACAGGAACACTTGTCCTGAAAAGAGAGGTCTCTGTTTGATTTTTAAACAGCATTTTTCAATGCTGTGAGCACCACAGACAACATTCTATTCATCATGATTGTATGGAGGTGGAAGAAGAAATGAGATATTGAAAGATGGATACCTCTAAGCCTGACCAAATATAGCCCAAACTAGTTACCATTAGAGGTAAGAAAGGTTTTTTAAGTGAGTTGCATTTTTTGCTATTGTTTTATCACCACCAAACTGACAGCCATCACATCCCAATTGTCCCAGTAGATGGCTGTTGTGAGACGTTGTAAAGATTATAACTGTTTATTTCTGGCTATGTCATGACTGAGAACAGAGCATTACTGAAACATCACAGCAGTTACCTGTGGCAGGCTTTCTATGAAGGTGTGAATGTTGGCTGCTTTGGCAGCTTCCTGTATCTCCGCCAGGGTTGCGGTGCGGCTGTTGTCTCCATAGGCGATGTTTTCGCTCAAGGTGCAGTCGAACAGCACAGGCTCCTGGGATACGATGCCCATCTGAGATCTCAACCATTGAATGTTCAGCCGTTTTGCATTTATATTGTCCAGCAGCTGAAGAAGAAAATGTTAGCCATCATTATTGTGGAAGCAGTGGTTGGATTTGATGTCTAAAACATGCAATAACTGTTTTCCTGAGCAAAATATCTGTATATTTAGCTGCTAAATACGCCACCAGCTAGTTGCTGACTTTGTCTGTGTGACGTTTAGTTCTGAGCAGGTAGTGTGCATTTGGTTTTTAGAGCTTTTTTGTTTTAATTCTTGAAAATAGCTGCCTGCTCTGGCCGAAATCAGCATTAATGTGAAGTTACAAAGAGCCGAGGGGGAGCTGGATAATAATTATCTGTGTTCGTTTTAAAAACTCTTGTGCATCACTTAAAAATAAGGATGTATATTTTTTTATATTGTAGCAAAAAATATTGTCTTCTCTCACAGAAGACAGTCAGCAACAGCAATAATCCCATGAAGTTAAAATGAAATGGTTTGTGCAGTAAATATAAAAACACACATGCTAGATAGGCCTAAAACAGTCTCAAGTACAGTTCTGTAAAGAAGCCATGAACACGTTGGCCAGCTAACCATTAACTAGCTGACAGTAGGTGAAGAGGAACGAGTGTTAATCAGCCACGTGTGTGTGTTTTATCTTCTCACCACTCTCCCCTCCCTGGGATCGTAGAACCTCTCCAGCAGCTGGACGGTGGTGCTCTTTCCACAGCCGCTGCTCCCCACCAAGGCCAAAGTCTCTCCCTTGCTCACCTTTAGATTCAGCCCTTGGAGGATGGGCACATCGGGGCGTGAAGGGTAGTTAAAAAAGACACTGTCAAAGTCCACGTTACCATCAAATTTGTCCTGGTGGTTTGAAGAGATTAAGAGATGACACAGAAGAGAGATATGTTAGCTTGTGTGTAAAGAGCTGTACCATAAATTACGTGTTTTTGTGTGTGGGGCTTTGTGTTACGTACCGGTGACTCCCCCTCCTGTGAGAGATTGTCGATGGCGGACTCTTTCTTCAGCAGCATCATGAGGTGGGAAGCTGAGATTTTGGCCTTAGCATAGTTTGGAGCGAAGGAGTTGGCCTGTCCGAGAGCCATGGCACCATACAGTATAGCAGAGATAACACTGGGAAAGAGTCAAGTGCTCATTAGTTTTACCTTTCACATTTAAGAGTCAACGGAAGGGGAAGATTCATTTACTTTTATATTTTAGTTACCTAACTTTTCAAATATCGCTGTTTAATTGACCTTAAATGACCTTTTAGCTAACTCATACAATGTAATGTATTCAGTATCTGCTTGTTTCTATATTTCTATAAGCTACATCACTCTGATATTGAATGAAATATTTTACATTTCAAATCATTATTTTATGATTGCACAATTAAATCAAATAGACATTTAACGATGTCTTGTGCATCACTTTAAATACATTTCCATAATTCAGCCTGACTGAGTGTCTTTGGAAACCTTGGGATCTTGAAAGGATCAATTGTACAGTATACAGTATCTGAGGGTTTACAATGCACATGTGTTGTATAAATGAGTTAATATGTCTGTATTTTATGTCAGAAGTGACCTTTGGGCTTCCTCTTTGTGTAACAGGTAGAAAATAAATGAAGGCAGAGGCTTAGTTGCGTTAGCATTACTAAAACACGTGTGTGTGTGTGTGTGTGTGTCTTTTGGATCACCAAAGATGTTTTGTGGGACTTTATCCTCTGGGTTTGGAGCCAACTCATTCACAGTGCCCTCTCACATACTTCAGGCCAGGGTTATGATTAAAAGCCTTACAGAAAAGCTTCTCCTCTTTTGTAACCTACGTGTGCACACAACCAGTTGATCTTCTCTATAATAAACTAAATTTGAATCTGCTGATTAAGAGACAAGACAAAGTCATGCTATGTGTTTACTCACAGGAATACTCCCTCAACCTCCATCCTTCCTGTCACAATGAGCCAAGCTCCAAAGCGGAAACAGCCTGCATAAGCAAAGTAGATCATGGCCTGGGTAAGGGAGAAGGTGAAACCATGCACATGGGCATTTTTCTGGGAGTTCCTGTTCAGAGAGTGAGAGAAAGGTGGCATCAGAGAGGTCACTCCTCAAATGAATCAAATTGGATTAAAATAGATGTATAATATTAGTTCATATATCCCATGGAGAAGATGGATCTGTGGTTTAATGTCTCGTACTTGTATGGTACTTCAAGGTTTTCCTGATACAAACACTCAAACTTGGGTTCTCTGCTTAGAGAGACAACAGTACGGATATTGTCGATGGCCTCTGTAGCAATCTGTAGAGATGAACCATGCAAACATTATATCTACTGTATATCACAAAAAAAAAGAATTAGCAATTAGGCACATCTCATACTGATTCCATACCTTTCCAGCCTTCTCCAGCTCCTTCTTGTCTTTGGCGGCGTATCCGGTGAGCGCCTGCATCTCTACAGCTCCAGCCGCTGCCATGAAAGGCACCACAGCCAGGACGAGCAAGGTCAGCTGCCAGCCGTACACAAAGGAGATGATCACAGAGGTGCCCATGTTGGCTAAGTTCTGGGCAAACGTGGCCATACGTACTCCTGTAGCCTGAGCAGGCGTGAAAGAAGGGTACAAAGTAAGTGACCGGAACACTGGTTTTCTGAGACGATTCATTGTTTTAGTGTTTGGAAAATAGCTTTGTTAATTTTGTGTGTTTGTGACCGCTGTTGAGACTTACCCCTTGCACTTGGGCTGCGTCTGTGGCCAGTCTCGTAGTGAGCGCTCCAACACTGTTGTTGGGGTGGTCAAACCAGCCGAGGTCCTACAAGAAAACAGGGAATGACATTTTCCATTGGCCATGAAAATAAATCCATTCATCCATCTATTATCTTTTAAGCCAGCTGACATTGGGCGAAGGCAGCTACACCCTGGACAGGTTGCCAGACTATCGAAGGCCTGAATAACACAGACATACAACCATTCACGCTCACATCCACACCTACAAGCAATTTAGAGTCATCAATTAACCGAAGCGGCTGTGGGAGGAAGACCGAGAACCCAGAGAGAACCCACGCCGTCACGGGGACAACATGCAAATGCCACACAGAAGGCCCGTCTAGCCCGGGAATTGAACCCCACACCTCTTGCTGTGAGACATTATGAGTTAATATTTACAATTTCTATAGAAACTCAGCCCCGACAGAAACAAGCAGAGACGAGAAAAGAGGCAAGGTTACACTTACCTGTCTCATCATGGCCGTGAAGGCATCGCGTCTCAGTTTAAGGGTCAGGATCTCTCCAGATTTACCAAAACAGAAGCCCTGTTAAAAGTTTACAGACAGGAGGCATGAGCACACAAGTTATACTAACCAGGTGCTTGTTGTATGCCTTCAAATGTATTGTATTTATTGTATCATCTAAGTCTCAGCAAGAAATCGAATAAGTGTATTTCCAAAAATATCAAATTCCTTTGAGGGCAATAAACCCCCCCCGGGAAACGAATATACGTCAACATGCATGTGTGTTAGTCATACCTGTAGAAACATGGTGATGAAAGTTACAACTCCAATAACGACAAACATCAGAGAATAGAATGTAGATCTTGCTCTGATAATTTCTTGATCTGGTTCTGCAAACACCTGAGAGGAGAAAAAACCAACAGATAATTTCTAGCTTTCTACAACATCTGACAAATGTTGCATCATGAAGCTTTAAAATAACTTTTGTGTTGCACAGATACAAGGAGTAACATACGGTGATGATCTTGGAGAAGATGACAGCAAACAATGGTTGCATGGCTCCGTTAAAGATGGCACAGATGGTCCCTACCAAAATGTACGGCCACTCGTGAAGGTTGAGACGCAGCAATTGAGGGAACGACATGATGGGAACATTTTCATCCTACAGGAAGAGAGGAAGAGCTGAGTCACATCTCCTTTCATCTCCTTCCACTTTTTCCTCAGGAAGATATTCACAAAGTTAGAGTGTGGTGAACTGAATTTAATATGTAACTGTTGGAATGTGGGGAAAGATCGAGGGAAAGAGTGGTTAGGGAACAGAGGAGAAAGTACAGAGCCATCAAAAATATCTTCACAACTGGATTATCGTGTACATAGTTCAGAGGCAGGGGAAAATATACGATCGGCTAAGGATGTTTCCAAACTGGATCACTATCAAAGTTAACAGACTGTACTAAGAAGGAGAGGCTAAATAATCCTGGAATTGAGGAAGTCCTATTTCCTCTATATATTTTGGCCACTGTTAATAATCTTTCCTAATTCTCTGTTTCTTATTCGAGATTAAATCGGATACAATTTTATCATAAAGAAATATATCTTAAATCGTCAGCATATAAGAAGACTGAATGCCTCCTGCCCCCTCTTTTTGCATAGACACTGCATTGACCCAGCCACTCAAACCCCAGAGATGTTGCACCAAAGCTCACCTCTTCTGTACCGTAATCCTTCAACTTGTCTTTTTCCTCTTTCTCTCCCTCTGAGGCAGCAAAGGAGGCACCTCTTGTGGACTTCCTCCTGTGCAGAGAGGACTGAGAATGGGTCTTGTCTAACGGGCTCTTCTTGTCCACGGAATGCTCCCACTCCGCCTCCTCCCCCTCGTCGACATTTTGAAAGGTCTGCAGCAGAGAGAGACGGGAGGGAACCACAGAAATAAACAATATCGAGGATGTCCATTCGGAAATTACAAAGTTCCCCTCGAGTTCAAGCCCAACCAAATGGTGTGTCAAGTGTTTTTGTGTGTCTACCTGCATGGTGACCAGTGTATGGTAGATTCCCTGTTCTTCCATCAGTTGACTGTGAGTCCCTAGCTCTACAATTTCACCTTGCTGAAAGCCAGCGATGACGTCGGCGTTTCTGATGGTTGAGAGGCGGTGGGCAACAACTATGGTGGTACGACCCTGTCGAACCTGCACAAAAAGATGTGTGTCTTTTTTTCCTATGCTTACATTTACAAGAAGGAGCTGAAATTGTACATACATGTCATGAAGATACAACGTGTTTGCAGTTGACAAATTTGATCATTTAGTGACTGCGACTTTATGAGGATGTAGTGAGACACAGTGGTGCTTTGAGCTGAATACTAACATCATCATCATAGTATGCTAACATTTGCTTAGGCTAAACACAAGTACAGCTGAGGATGATGGGAATTCCAGTTGGTTTTGCATATATGTGATTGAAAACCACTACTACTGGATTAAGTCTATTTGAATTGCTGGTGGTGCTAGTGGGAAAGTCAGAGCATTACCGACGTCAGTCAGATTTATCCTCTGGGGATCATGAATGTGCAATCAATAGATATTTCAGTCTGGACCACAGTGGTGAGCCAACAGACCGACCAATACCGTCATCTATAGAGCCACACCATTAGTGCCGCTACAGAAAGTAGTAAACCAACGTAATCTGCTTTGTATTAAGTATTTTAACTGCAGTTCTTAAAAATATCTGCGTCAGTGTAAAAGTGCAAAGTAAGCTAAAGCTTTTCTGAACGAGGCAGAGCATGTGTCTGTGTATATTTCTACCTTGTCGAGTGCAGCTTGCACAATGGTCTCACTCTCAGCATCAAGAGCAGATGTGGCTTCGTCCAACAGAAGGATTTTGGGGTTGCGGACTAGAGCTCGAGCAATCGCAATCCTCTGCTTCTGTCCTCCACTCATTTGAGTCCCTCGGTCACCGACCATCGTCTCAAACTTCTGCTCAATGATAACAGTATCAATATTAGCAAGTGGTGGACAGAGTTCTTGATACACACAGAAGACAGGGATTCATAAATACAGCCGTACGTCAGGAAAGTCCATAATGAAGTTGTAAGCATTAGCCTCCTTGGCAGCTTGTGTGATCTCCTGCTGCGTCACGTCAAGTCGGCCGTATCTGATGTTCTCAGCGATGGTGGTGGCAAAGAGGATGGGCTCCTGACTCACCACTCCTATCATCTCTCTCAGGTAGCGGACGTTAAGAGAACGGATGTCGTGACCGTCGATAGTCATCTGAAGTGCAGGAGTCAAACATACACAGCACTTAATCTCATTCTAAACACAGCGCATTGAGTGAGTAATGAGTATTTAAAAACAGCATAAACTCTGTTGTTGTTAAAAGAAGCACTTAACATTTTTGGACATTTCAAGACTCTCAGCATTGACTTTTATATCAATGCAAACTTAATGTAAATCAAAGGTGCCGTGAAAGCAGGAAAAAACTGAGGAGTAGCAGCAGTGACACCGCGAAAGCAGGATTTGCAGTAAATGTGCGGAAACAAACAAAACACTACTTTGATCTTTATGGACTTATTAAATGACAAAATGTTATGGGAGTGCAATGCTAAATTGGTGGAGTACTCTTTCAAGTCCTCAATTATAGCAGAGTGGAAATGGTGACAAGCGCTGAATAAATCCTTTGAATGAAGTGGTTGAGAAATATCACTTACAGATCCTTCTTGAGGATCGTAGAACCTCTGCAGCAGCTGGACCGTAGTGCTTTTACCACAGCCGCTGCTGCCAACCAAGGCAATGGTCTGCCCGCTCTTCACGCTCAAAGAAAAGTTATGTAATACCTACAAATGATAACAATATCAGTTATGAGATGCAGGTTGAAGTAATATAATGCATGTTGTAGAGTTCAGTAAACTGTCGAAGGGGAACATACTTTGACATCCGGCCTTGAGGGGTAGTTGAAGTGGATGTTCTTGAACTCTATGTTTCCTGTGATGGAATCAGGTTTGAAGCCGGCCCCTGAATAGCTGTCGATGGTCGGTTTCTGTTGAGACAAGAGTTTTACTTCTAAAAACTAAAGCTCTGTTTTGATTTGCAGTTCAGCCACAGTTGGATAGAAACCTGATTCTTATCACAACCTCAAACAGACAATGGGAGGAAGGCTGTTAGCCCCGCATGTTTAGGTGAGCGTATTTAGAAAAGCGAATATGTTTTTTTTCCACAGCTCTTTGTATTTTCACTGCGTACCGCTATTCTCCCTCAAAGGTTGAGCTCTGTGTTTCAACAAAGAAAGAGACTTTTATGTCCCTTTTGAAGGCCTCACACTTCTGTATTTCAGACTAGACAGTAGAAACTATAAAGCACCTTTCTAGATCAAACATCACTATGTGCTTTGCAATATAAGACACAACATACAAGTAATTAATAAAATATAGATGAAAATGTGTCCATGGATCTTAGGTCCAAAGGGAGAGAGTTCACTGGTTTAGGAGCCATGACTTTCAATTCACAGTCTCCCTCAGTTTAGAGCTTGGACCATAAAGGTGTACCCTGCCTTTGCCCAATGTAGGCTGGGATAAGCGGGTTTAGATAATGGAAGGATGGAAGATGAACTAAATTACCCTTGGATGCTTGAGACTCCTTGTTTTATGCTCATGTGTAAACAGATGTAGGACTCAGCCAGCTGTTGGTAGAATATCCTGTATCCATGCTGATAAACGAGGCCCACTGTAAACTAAACACAGGAGCGTATCTATGTTCCCATGGTCCCATATTCCCCAGTTTATAATCTTCTTAATTTAACACATTAATGAGACCTTTCTAAGGGTTTTATGTTTTCTCAGCAATGTATGTTTCTCTGGGACAAATGTTGAAATCATCCACCTACAACATGTAGCCTACTGCTTGTACCATACAGTCTCAAGTATGCGGGTGAGACATTGATATCTCCACACTAGCTGTATGGATTATCACCATTCAAACTGCATTTGAAACCTCCATCTCCATTCATTAAATTGCAATTCAAACTGTGAAGAAAGCCCTTACCAATCTCATATAATGTTTATATCAAGAATATAGGACCCTGGGAACAGGGGAGCCTCTAAACGCAGGTACATCCCAGAATAACAACAAGACCTTTGCAATCACTCTAGAAGTGAAACGGAAGTTAGAGTGTGTTCAGCCCCTGTTACGGTTGCAAATGTTTGACGACCCATCCTGCACTCAGGGTTGCTGACAAGCTGCAAAACGTTAATTTCCTCTCTCCCTCGTCCTCCTCCTGATATAACAACAGGTGAAGGAGGTTAGTTAGTTAGTTCAGGACGGGGAGAGCTACAGCTGTGCAATATCAACCAGATGACCTGACAGCAGGTGCTCCAATTAGAGCAAAATCCAACATATCTGACTCCAAGTTGTCGGCTGCATCAAAGCGGCTCCCCAGAGTGCCAGATTACAGTGGTGCATGTTCAGTAATATAAACTGACAACTGTCCAGCAGCAAAAATATCTAAAAAAAAACATTTTTAACATGTGTGCTTTGGGGAAGAATGTTGCATCGCTTACGTGATCAATAATGCTATACACTTTATGTGCAGCTCCTCGGGCACTGGCAAAGTTCTGGATGTTAGGAGAGGTCTGTCCCACAGTGAACGCTCCAATAAGCACAACGAAGAACACCTTAAGAGACACACACCAGCGTTAGCCACAGCAACCTTCTTTTTCAGAGTCTCACTTATGTTCAAAGGGAAATGATTTGAAGAAATTGTGTCATAATATGTCTACTCACAGTGAGTACAGTTCCAATGGTGTACTCATTGCTCAGGATGAGTGTACTTCCGTACCAGAAGGCCAGAGCATAGGACAGGTAGATCATCAGGAAGTTGATGCCAAAGGCAAAGTTAGCATATGTCGCCTTCTTTATTCCCACGTTCTTTGCATCCTCCAAGTTCTTATTGTATCTGTGGTGCAAGACACACAGAGACACAGGTGCTAGTTCAACAGAAAGCTAATTTAAGCACAAATTAGATTGCAATGACATCCTAACAGCATCAGTAGAAAGCACTAATCTAATTCCATTTTTATGGGTTTTATCCACGACAGCTGGAGGCTGAACCAAGATCTATTTTTGCTGCATCGATGGTTTGCTAGAATAGAAGAAAATCATCTCTTAATCTTCATCTTTTGTGGAGCACATTGAGTTCTATCTTGTTGTATGAAATGTGCAATGTAAATAAAGTTTTATTATATCATATATATATATATATATACACACACACACACACACACACACACACATACATACACACATACATATCATATTGCACATACCTCTTGATTTCTCTTTCCTGACCACTGAAAGCAAACACTGTCCTGACAGCAGAGATTACCTCTGATGCCACAGCTCCAGCTTTGGCATACGCAGCCTGCTCTTTAGAAGTGAAAGTCGCTAGCAACTATTCAGACAAGGAGACAGACGTAATGTTATTAACAATACCCGCAGGGGACTGAAAGGTGGAAAGATGGAATGAAGACAAAGAGAAAGTAAACTTTAAAAGAGCAACACAAAGATGACGGAGAGAAGCTTACCTTCGAGAAAATTCCAGCTGAAAGGCCAAGTGCAGGGCTCACAGCCAGGATGACTAGAGTGAGTTTCCAGCCTTTGGCAAAGCCGATGATGAAGGATGTGATGAAGGTGCTGAAGGCCTGAAGAAGCATCCCGGCCTTGTCACCAATACCTTCTTGGATCTTATAGACATCACTGTGCATGCAAATATAATTCACATGTATGTATTAACAATGAAAGAAAAAACATTTTGCAGTTGTCATGTGAAAACAGACTTTAATGTTTTAACTTCAAATGAAGGATCATATTATGGGATAATGAAAGAAATCCTAAAAATAAGGATGCTTTTCTTTTCTACGACAGAGATGGAAGTCACTTTACAGAAGAGCTGAAAGTATTGATTCATTAGTCGATCAACAGAAAATGATTCAGCAAAATCTTGATGATCATTTAATTGTGCGATTGTTATTTAATTGTTGTTTTTATAAAGAAAAAATCCCAAAAGGGCGACTGGTTCCATCCGTTCAATTAGAATCTTCTATGTCTTCTATGATAGTATATTGAATATCTTTTGCTTCAATTGTTGAATATGTCAACTTGGGCTCTGGGAAATGTTACGGCCATTTTTCACTTGCATATAGACCAAATGATGAATCAAATATTTGAGAAATTGATCAAATAAAAGTGCAGGTCTGCTTTACAATAATGCATTTCAATGCATGTGTAACAGAGTGTGTTAGTTGTCTGTTACCCACTCTGTGAGACGTGTGTTGAGCTCTCCTGTTTCAGAGACATCGAACCAGCCGATGTCCTGCTGCATGATGCGGTGGAAAAACAACGTGCGGATGTGTTTTGCCTGCCGCCCGGCAGACAGGGTCCAGAAGGCCACCTGCCCGTAGGCTACCACCAGCACGACAAAACCCAATATGGAGTAGCTAATGGCATATCTGGAAGAAGAGAAGTACTGTGACACACATGACTTTAAATCCTCTGCTAAGACTTGAAGACAATTTCAATTCTCTATTTTGTTTAAGAAAGTGGAAGTTGGAAGACGATTCAATTGACAATATGAATAAATTATGCAATTTTACATCTAGAGAAATCCATGCAAGTTCCCTGAAAAACATAACAAGCACATCCATCAAAATTAAATATAACGAGTGTTTTCCCCCGACAACAACTTGATCTGTTTCTGATCATATAAAGTCTTACCTTGTCATTTCTTCCTCTAAGGTGCTGTTTATTTGTATGTTGGTGACATCTAAAGACACAAGGTAATAAACAACATTGTTAAATGGTGTTTTGTCTTATCATAATATCTGCCCATGTCTGTAACTGGAAACTCACTGGTGTTGTTGAGGTTTTGTCCAGGAGAGGGGTTATGTACAAGGCTGTCTGTCATGTCCCCAAACACAATACACATGAGAGGAAGAGTTACACCGTTGGCAATGGCACAGACGCTCCCAGCCAGGATCAAAATAATGTCCATGCCTTTTGCAAACCTAAACTTTACTCATATAAAGGAGTGTAGTTTAGGAAGGACGAAAAACAGAACAGTAGAAATCAGTATCTGAATGTTGCTTCTGATGATTTGTGGGGTTTAAAAAATGTGAATAATGCAAACAGAAAGGGGAAATACTTTAAACTCTAAGCAGCTATTATATTCTCACAGCAGGGGACACGTGGAGTCAAACCCAAACAAAAGGAGGATGTGTCGCACTCCCATCCCACCCCCCCCCCCCCCCCCGCTCCAGCCCCCCCCCCCCCCGCAGGGCCCCCCCCCCCCCCCCCCCCCCCCCCCCCGTCCACCCCCGTCTCCTCCTCTTACGTCACACAAACCTTGACACACAGATGCTTGTACGATCATACCACAGCCTTACTTTTATGATCAGTCTTTACTCGCTAATCTTAGGCTGATTTCAACAACAACAACACAAATCAATACAGCTCCTCCTGTGTTCTGTTGTTTCGAACACACAAAGACACAACATAACATAACATATCAGTATAATTTTAGATCAATATTAAAACAGTAACTTCAATGAGAAATTGCCAAAGTACATATCTGAGTTACTGACATATTACTCAGAGAAAATTATTCTCATTGTTCCAACAACCCAAACCGAGCTGGGTAAACCTGTCTTTGGTGTCATTCTACTTGTAAATGCAACTTCTTATTTTGCTGCCCATCTTGACCAGGACTCACAGACAGAAAACTTTTTTTGTATCTTGATCTTTCTGATTAAAATAAGAAGGCAGGATATACTGTAGAAAGAATACAACTGTAGAAAGTATAGAATAAAGCTACATTAACTGCTTCAAAAGAACAATTACTTAGCATTACGTGTGGATCTGACAGAAAGACATCACAGTGTGTGATGACTGAGCTTACCACATCAATGGGGCCAACCATGGGCAAGTTTGCCACTTTTTCTTTCTCCTTTTTTTTGTCCTTGCCACTGTAGAATATACAAAGTATGATGTATTAACATATATATATATATATATATATATATATATATATATATATATATTTTCCAGAGAATAAGTGAGACATAAGTGTTCAGGTTTGGGCGCATAATCGACACTGTTTTAAAAAAACATTGCTCTGGAAATCTACAGCAAGAGGGAATTAAAAAGCGTACCTTAAATGTCCATTTTGTTCGTGTTTGGCCGCGGGCAATTTATCCATTTCGTCCACATCCATGTCTGGTTGTTGTCTAAATATTTACGTCTCAATATAACCTATGATCCTCTCTGAGAAGAAATGAAACAAAACATCAAATCACCAAAAAGCAACACCAGGATTCAAAGCTCAGTGGCGCAGTCTGCATTGTAAACTGTATCGTTATACTGCAGATGTTTCCTAACATTTAGAGTAAAGAAAATAAATAGTCAAACACAGGCATAAAGTTTCTCTACCAACCCCTCCTACTCCGGGCTGTAAGCTCGTCACACCAGCGCCTCTTCAGCCCCTTGTCCTCGCTCCTGTCCTGTCCTCACGTGCCTTATCCAAACCGTGACGCGGTAGGCTGATATCCACCCTATCGCAAGACGAGCCTCTGAGAGAGGCTGACTCTCGCCGCATCAGGGTTATAAAGTGGAGCTTTGAATTGATCTCAGCTCACTCGCGGTTTGTTCTCCTCCCGCTGTCAGTGGACCATGGCGTTATAGGGAATAGTTAATTGAAGCCTGTCAGCAACCGCCTGTTTCCCCGCCACGTCTTAGTGGAAATTACCACGCTTCCGATTCCGACCACAACGATGACAGCGTGAGCCACACAGAACAGAGCCCCGAGGGAGAGGAGGGTGAGGGCTGACAGCTGGAGGCAAAGAGAGGGGCAGAGAAACGCCAAGAAATGTCCCGAACACACCAGAATTAAAATAAAAGAGAAAATACAGGCAGAGTGGAGGGTGTATGCAGATACAGACATTTGTCACTAACTTCTAGTGGATCATAAGTGATGATTCAGAGGGATTCTTTTTTGAGTCGGAACATAGTTTTTTTGGAAAATCCTACTCATTGTGCCAATAACACAAATTATAAACTGTGAGAACTTGTTCTGAGATTGACCCCTGACTAAAGGTGAGAGTGCAAGCACAGTTGTGTCTTATTTGTTTATTTAGTGAAATGTGCTTTGTGTAAGAACTTTTACTTTTTAAATAGACTAGTTAATGTTCAACAGCCCACATACTGTTGATAGGGTTCACACTTTTTTCTTGGTGAAGTCCAAAGGTTTATGTTTTCTTTTCGTGAGAAGAGCCAATTCCACAAAAGAGATGATGTGACAAGTGTACATAATGAACTCAAACTAAACTTTCTTTCTGGAGAGAGTGAACTAAATATAATAGCGTGTCTCGTTTAACAAGTGACATTACTGAGTAATCTTCATTGCTCTATGGACAGCACAATTACAACCACAAAGGAGACACTCAACATCCTCATTTTCGTGACTAAGGTCTTAACCTAGAGTTTAATTATTATATCCATGGTTTAATCTCTTGTTGAAATCTGATATAGTGTTGTTAAAGTACAATAAAGACGGACTCACCCCATGTTATCATATCCTGTCCTACTCCTTCTCTTTGTATAACTTTCCTTTAAAAGTAACTGATATCTAAGAGTATTAAAATAAGTACAAAATATACATACATATTGTGTACTATAGTGTACTGTAAATGCAGGTTTGAATCCTGTTGATGGATTCCCTCACATTTGTTCAAGTTAAACCAAACCAGAGCAGAACCACGTTCATTGTCTTCAGGTAACTCAGTATAGGTCAATATATTTACAACGATGTCATGTGTTTCCTTTGTAGACTTTTGACACTGAGTTCACATCAGGGTAAAAGTCACTCCTGTGGTCTGTTAGTCACGTCTCTGAAAGTACATGTGCAGAAACTAAAGCCACGCACAGCAGATTGATCACATGACTGCCAGACACGACGCTTCTGGTTTGGCTTGACTCAAGTAAATATTCAAATAGAGATGATTCTACGTGCCACTTGTAGTGTAACGAGTTTGTTCAACATCTTTGTGTTGATTTCAAATCTAAGAATTATGTAGATCCTCTCATACAGACATACTTAAATATAGGCACACATCATTTATATAGCAAATTACTAAAAGAGGGGAAAATGTAATGCAATACAACAGCATTGTAAAGATCCTATAACATAATATTTTCAATTTGTGACTTGAGACGCCTTCAGTTTTTTTGTGTGTCTATTTTGTGGTGTATTTGCACCGCATCCTCATACAACGTATGATATCTTACACAAACGTGCTCCTCATTTTTACTGCGTTGCAAAGGTTTCGTTGGCTGGCTTTATGAATATCTAACGTCTGTGAGGCACAGCAACACGTGTTCACTACATTTCAGAGGGAAATATTGTACTTTTTATGCCACTAAATTTATTTGCCATTTATTTGCCAAGTGTAGTAACTAGTTAATTTTCTGATTCATATTTTACATAAAAAAATCACATTATAAACTAGAAAAATCACATTATGAACTATAGATATAGTCTTGTAACCCTATAAAGAAATAATTGTCTAGTTGTAGCATCTTGTCATCTTTCACATTTCTATGAGTTGTTAGCAGTTCAACCAAAACTTTTCAGATAATGTTTCACGCCTAAAGGGGTAATTCAATATTTTACACAAAAGTAAAAAATAATGAATTGAAAAAACAACCCGCAGGTCATAGCGCATAATAGAATACTTTACTTTTGATACTTTACATTTTCTGGATAATAAGTTTGTACTTTTAACTCTCAACCACCAACAGACAGCGGAGCTCTTCCTCTAACAGACTTATTCGGATTTTCAAAATGGCAACCTGAGAGGAGGAACTTACTTTGATATACAGTAGAACATATCTGGCATTCAGAATTGGTCAAATCAAATAACTATTACAAAATCATGCTGGGACAATTGTATATTTTACAGACAATTTATAATGCAATCAAGTAATCGTTAAAGATATAACTTCCAATTGTAGATTTTTTTCATATGTAGTCTATAGTGATTATTGTTACTTATTATTATAATCCTGATTATATGTAATCAGTTTCCACCCAACCCTAATGACAACCCACCAGCTGGAGTCTGACACTGATGTTGGAGGGAACCCAGACAGAGTTTGTTATTTTCCTTGAGGCCTCTAGATGACGCTGTCTTCCTTCAAGATGACTTAACTGAATTTGTAGGCAGTTAAATGTCACAATCAAGGATCCAAATGTGGAAAAAAGCATATGATGAAGATCAAAACACAGGACTGTAATATGGTGACACAATAGTATTCACTGACAACTCATTTAAAATACATGGACGCTGGAAAATAAGATGTGAGTTATAATATTTAATGATGCTATGAAAGGTCTACTAATGTTTACACACAGTAGTAAAATAGATCTATATATTTCATGTTCAATTAGGTATTGTTAGCTGAGAAACTCTTAAATGTGAAGATACAGTACATGCCATTCATTTTTTTTGGATTAATCAGCTTTTTAACACTTGAACAGACGAGATATTTGTTTGTGTATGGATGAAAGGCAGCCACTCTCACCTTTTCTTTAGGTCCTCAAACAATAGACTACATAGCCTCACGCGAACAGGCTACACATAATCTTGCTTTTCTTTCAGGGCCCTTTGCAGCCAGTAACATCTTCCTATATGAAGAGAGTCCTATTGCAGGTTGGATACATTTACCTTCACAATAAAAGGAGGCCAAATCAGGCGCACATTTGAACATTCAATTCAAACTCAGTATTTAGTGGAATAGCAGCAGAACATATGAACAAAGCTAAATATGGTGCACGATACATAAATCATGACACGTTAAATCCATGCATTTTTTATGTTTTTTTTATTCAGGCAACTGCAAATTTATTGTCTGTAAATGTTAAAAATAAAAATATATTCATGTCCTCCCATAAGAACCTTATATATTTTAGTATTTACCATACGTTGCATAGTTTGAATTCAAATTATATTTTTGGTGTAATGCCATTTAAAATAATTCGTTTTTCAGTTATGCTGGCCTAAGGTTTTTAAGTTGTTTGCAATTCTTACTTTTTCTTATATTACATTATACTTGTATAATGTAACATACTTTTTGTTATATTACCGATTTAGAGTCAGAAATAGGCAGCTGGTCTGCCGTTTGAGCTTTTATTTTGAAAGTACCAACGGGAAGTCCTGTTACATTGCAGGTTAGGTTTGCGTTCAGCCCCTCCTGCAGCTGAGCAGCGTGTATTCCTCCGGGCTGACGGAGACCACTGGCCCTGACCTACCCTGGTGCAGAGCGAGCGGAGCGGGCACTGCGCACCACCTCCGCCTCGCAGCGGCCCGGACAAGGACCGGGGATGGCGTCGCTTGGCGTGGGGCTGCATGTCATCCGCAGGCGTGGAGCAGGCAGGAGCGCCGTGGTGGAGAGGAGGAACCTGCTCACGGTGTGCAGGTGGGAATTCCTCACAATGTTTTTTCTTCTAATGCCAGGAGGATGAAAACTGCGTCTGACCGCAGATTTGTTTATTCATAATTTAATAGGCGTTTGTGTGAGGTTAGCTTGGGTAGCAGGACCGCAACCCTGGGTCTCCAAGATATTAATTCAAATGCATAAATCCATTCTGTGTCTGCTCTAAATGATAATGATTCAATCATTATAGAACAAATTAGAATGTCAGCTGACTGACCCCTGCTGAATGCCTCTATCATGTGTGTTTTGTTATATGCATCTCCTTCACTCACTCAAACACACAAATACACATTCACGCCCACCAGCAGCCCGCACAATTACATTTCACATATAATGACCCTCATAATCAGTTCAGTGTAGGATTAAGCCCAGAATTGTAGAAATACTCAAGTCATGAGTTCAAATTCCACCCCACCCCAATTTAACTGTTGCTACCAAAGACAATTTGTAAAATGTTGTTTATTATTATTATTATTATTATTATTATTATCTTTTCAAATAGTTTTATTCATGTAACTGCAAATATAATGTTTCTTTTTCGATTTCCCTAATTTATGGTTTAAAGACTTCCCTTGACACGACCAGGAACATCATTCAAGTGGCTAAATATTAAGTGCATTTTTGTTTTAACTTTATTGCCTGAAACTCCTCAATGGATTCATGAATGATAAGCTGTTTTGATACATTTGAAACATGGCTGACGGATGCTGAGGTGTGCACAAACTAGCCTTCTGCCTGTTTCTCCTCCTCTCTTCGTGAGCTGAAGTAAAAAGTGCTCAGAGTATTGATTTGTGGTCCTCTCAGAGCTGCTGGCAGATGTCAGGTTACTGACTGACAGTCCCTGTGGTGCGTTTGAGACAGAAGATCAGCTGCTCAGTTAACAGAAGAACAAATTCATTTTTCAGGTTTCAGGTGTGACGGTGACTGGCTTGTACGCCTTCCTCCGTTAACGTCACTTGAAACGGATATAAAGGGAGAGTTATCAGATGCAGGTGCTCCTTGCTGACCACTCGGGTCCTTTCTGCCTCCTCACCAGCCATCAACTCGCTGATTGGTACAAGCGGAGGAGGGAGAAGGGAGTCGTGATGGCAGATTTGCAAAATGAATGAACCGAAGATGAATTATTACTGAGGTTTAAGAAAGGTTTAAGAAGAGTCTTAAATACTTTACATTATCTACTTTTGTTCCCTTTTAATGTTAAAATCATTGTCTTCCACACTGAGACAGAATCTTATAGCGCTGAAATGATTCTGATGAATCGACTGACAGATTGATGAATCATTTCAGTCATTTGTTTTAAACAAAAATGCCAAATATTCACTGGTTACAAATGTGAAGATTTGATGCTTTTCTCTTTGTTGTATATGATCCTTTTTTGGGACTTTTTACTGTTGGTCAGACAAAACATATTACAACATAATTGTGTATATATATATATATATATATATATGGTATTGGCTTGTTGCTGCTCTTTATTTAAACTATACATGATGTTTAACATTGAGTGAATATATATACTGTATATATATATATATATATACACACACATTGTGGATGTATTGTGCATCATTTGAGACTGGTACTTTATTTGGAATCTTTGGAAACTGGTGGATCTTCACTTTGATTCAAAGTTAAGTGGGTTTGAACAGTGCTTTTTCTGCACAGCAGGAGTTTGCATTGATTCGCCTGCCAGCAGGCTGCTGCTTGGCGGGGGGGTTGAAGCTTCAAGAAAAGTGTAGATTGCTGCTGCAAGCGCGTGTGAGAGCTAAGCAGAGTCTAGCTGCTGCAGTAGCCGTCAACACACCTGCCATTGAAAACGATGCCGGTTGTTTTTAGAGCTCATGTTCTCTAGATGCAGAAAAGAAAAGTAATTTTACTGTCCATAATCAAATGCAGAGCAGAGTCATCAAACTCTTGTGCACTAGTGGAGAACAGAGGGGTTGTTTACCTTCCATCATTTAATTACATGGAGGAAAACACCCAAAACACTGCTTCAGCTTAAGAGCTGTTGTGCAGATGAATGCACAGTAAAGAACCGAGGACATGTTTTCATACACTTCATGCTAAAGAGAAGAGCAGCAGTGCTTTATAAGAGCCTGTGTGATGTTATATATCCAAGCAGTTGAATGAATGAAATATGATTGTTTGTCCTCTCAGGGGGAAAACCAGTTGGCTACATAAAGTCTGTACAGCTCCACAAAATACCTTTTTCACAGCAGCAGACACAGTTGTGTTACTAATAATATGAAATCATTTATAGGCATCTATTAGCAGACATGGAATATAAAATGAATAAGTATGTTCTCTTTAGTGTATAATCACCTGAAAGTAAGAATCGTTGGGTTTTCATTACGTTAAAATGTGCCTTTTATATCTACCAACAGACCTCTTCATAGAGCCGCCATGTCGATACAGTAGCTCAGAATGGACAAACCAAACACTAACTCCAGAAAGGGACATTCACATTTCACAAGATTCCTGATAAACCTAAATGGAAATAAGCCATCATTCATGTAAAAATGGAGACCTGTCATTGTGCAGTCTAATCAGCCAAAAATAATGGTGCCTTTAAACGGTGTCCTGATTGTGGGAATAACCATTTGTTGTCAGGAGTTTAAAATGTACATTTTGTGAATCCATTGTGTCCTGTTGGTAACATCTCTCATTCATAAGCACAAGGTTGATCATTTACCATTTATTTTCAAAGGGAACATTGATGATTGTTGTCTGTCGACTCGCAACAGGGTTCTCACGACTTCAAGCACCTCAGCACTGAGGTGCTTGCACATTAAGTCACTTAAATGCTCGACTTTTCAGGATTTCTGTGGTTCTTACGTTGGCTGAAAGTCCCAGGGCCTCGATTTTTACTGTTTGAATGTTGAAAAATCCCCGAGAGGAGAAATGCAGTAAACTCTACACAGAGAGGAAATTAGGAAATTGTTTTTCAAAGTGTCTGAAAGTAAATATACATGATATGTGATTCAAATCTGCCCGTATTCATGAAAATAAGATGAAATCTGTCCGTCTTCTGTCGCTGGAAGCACGCACTATGGTCACCCTGCTGCTAAGCAACGGGAGAGATGAAGTCAGATTATTTAGCTGATGTTAAAGGCTACACACAATTTGGCAGAATTTACACCACACATGCACACACACACACACACACACACACACACACACACATCCACACACACATACATTGCAGCCTCGTCCATTAACTCTCCTGTCTTCCTGTCTAATCAGTTGAAACCAGATTAGACAGAGTCGTCGGTGCACATGTCATAGGGCCGCTCATCATGACTGGTTTCATCACAGGATATTAATTGAAGCCTTATTTCAACTATGTAGGCCTTATGTGTTTGTTTTCTGTGCCTTTGACGTTGTTTGTTTGATCTCAATTAAGATTCTTCTTTTTGTTTGTTTGTTCTTACGTGCATTACCGGTAGTCTGAGTGTGTCTTCGTCTCATTCAGTCTGGCATCTGACAGTAATAAAGAAAATATTTTGGACACACTTGGATGTCAGTGTAGAAAAATGTCGATAGATCCCTCACACTTTATACTCTCTTCCAAAAAGCAGGGGCCAAGATATTCAGACTTTTTAGTGTGTGTAACTGAAACGCTGTCTCCTACTATTCCCATAATGCAACCAGTAGTGTCTTTTGACCTTTCGTCCTGGTAAATGCCTATAAAGCTCCGTGCTTTGGTAAAATTGTGTGTGCATCTTCTTTTGCCTCAGGTTTTCAGTGAAGACTCTGCTGGACCGCTCCTGTTTTGACACGATAGACGACGCATCTCCAGAGTTTGTTAATTTCGTTTCCATCCTGGAGCACATCCTCAGTCATCGACTCAAAGGTAAAAAACGTAAGCAACCCTCTTCTCGTCCACATGCATAATTGAGTTATATTTATACTGCCGGGGGGGGGTTGATCTGTGATAATGGTCCTCAGCAGGAAATGAGCAAAATGAGCAGCAGACTTCATGTGTCTTTAAATCGTCGAATCAAATCATCAGGACGAAGAGAGAATCGAAAAATATGCACAATTTTAATACAGAAATTGCAGTGAAGTTTAGATAGTGATGGGCATCTCATTTTCCCTTCATTGAGATGAGTGTAGTTAGTGTGAGAATATTCTCAGTATCAAACACAGTGTATTCTTATTATGCTTGCACGATAGTATAGATACTGACCTGTTAAAGATCAATATTTGAGGTCTCCACTTACAGAAAGTTAAACTCGTTTCATTACATTTTTACCACCCCAAGCAGCCACTAAACTTAATTTAAGTTCAATGCTTGCACATTTTATGTGACTTAAATGTAATTTCTGGGTGAAAAACCCTTCAACTATGATCCACTTCCATTTGAGTAACGTGTACGAACTTGCTTTGTGCATCTTAAAAATTCAGAGCATCGTAAATGCAGATTCAAGCTTGTACAAACCTCTGTCTTTTTTTCCTCTCAGGTCAGACAACTTGGTTTGGCTATGAGAGTCCTCGGAGTTTCTGGGATTACCTAAAAGCCGCTTGCAGCAAAGTCCCTCATAATTGCATCCGAAGCATCGAGAGCATGGAGAATGTGCGATCATCGAGAGCTAAAGTGAGGATAAAACATTCTGGGGATCAGATTTAACTACCCGAGGCAGCAAGGAAGTAAATAACGTGGATCTCTAAATGTCAGAAAGTCAAATACAAACAGAGCATTTGATTAAATAAATGTGTAATTTAGCCATAATTACACATATATAAATCAGTAGATACACAGCTCTACATCTTCTATGAGTCCAAAATTGTCCTGACATCAGCACACGCATGCGGCACAGGCGTTTGTTGTTTTAGATTACTTTGCAGAAACAATTGGAGCTAGCATTGTTCTACAGTCAGGCTGTAGGTGAGAACAAGACACACACATCGTGCATGCTTTTTCCTCAAACATTTAAAAGAATGATCAGAAATCCTTTGAGCGCACACACACACACACACACACACAGGTCAAGAACTCTATGAGCTTCCACTAACTAAATGTTACTTCTTTGTCTCTGCAGGGCCGGGCATGGATCAGAGTGGTCCTGATGGAGAAAAGATTATCAGAATACATCTCATCTGCACTGAAGGACTTAAAAACCACAAGGTCTAAATGTGTTCTCATAAACTGCACACCCTGTTTCCCCTTCAACCCAATTATGATGTTTTTGATCAGGTCATCAAGTATAAAAATAGTATTTAGAAACATCAGCAGGTTGCGGGATAATTTTGATCTAGAGGAGTTGAATTAATACCAATAATGTGCTCACACGTGTTGACTGTAGGAGGTTTTACGAGGATGGAGCGATCATGCTGGGAGAGGAGGCGGGGCTGTTAGCAGACACACTCATTGGACTCAACACCATCGACTTCAGGTACCAATCACATACTGCTAATTCTTCCCCGTTGCACAGTCCGTGTGTAGCTTTCTCTGCAAGAAATGCATTTTTGGTGTCATCGATAAAGTAACAATCCCTTTCAAAATGTTAAGGCTGATCCAAAAGGATTTCATGTTCATGGAGCTTAAAAGGAAAATTGAAGTTTTCATGTTTTATTGTCTTTCAACAAGTTTCATGTTTTTATTGTGACGTGCACATTAATTACAGAAAGCTGACGACAATAAAAAAAGAAAACTGATCGCTATAAAGTGATCAAAGTTGCATAAGTATTCAACCCCCTTCAATTGGACACACCTAAATAATCACTGGTGCAGCAGATATGGACTTAGAACTTGAAAGCTGTAAATCTGGGAGGCGTTGATCTGATTTTCCATCCTGTCTTTTAGCTTCTGTCTGAAAGGAGAGAGTCTGGATGGCAGCTGCCCCGCTGTGATCGACTACACGCCTTACTTGAAGTTCACTCAGAAGTATGTGAGGTCAAATCACACAGTTCATCATCAGTGTACTCTAAAGCAGGGCTCAACAAGGTTGTTATTTAGTGGGATTTACATGATCCTTCTATTTACATTTTTATCTGTGTTGGATTTGTGAAAAATAGTGTAACATTTTTAACTATGAGAGCCTTCACCTTTTGGTCGGGGGGTTGGGGGCACATATTTTTTTGTCAGTTTCGGCCCATGGGCTGCTGTTTACCTCCCGCTGCTGTGCTGGATGTGTGCTAGTATGAGGCTCACGCTGCTTCCCTGTGCAGTGCAGACAGCATCAGCAGCGACGAGGAGGAGATGAGGACTCTGGGGAGCAGTGGCAGTGAGAGCAGCACCCCCGACAAGATGGCCACCGCTGCCTCCATCTTCACAGAGCAGAGCAACTTGGTCAGCAAGTGCAAACGCTTTGAGCAGAAGTACCGAATGACGTTGGAGCAGAAGGTATTATGTGTGTGTTTAATATTAGTTATGGTCATTACAGGTTTCCTCCCTGTTTGGCATCAGCTGTTATTCAACATGATGGAGCTGCCACAGCTGTCCTCTACGGTTATTTCTTTTGCTTTGAGCCAAAGCAAAGAACTCTGATGTGTATTCAGCAGTGCCTTCATGGCATTAGACACACAAATGGAAAACAGAGTGTGTACGTGTATGTGCTTGTGTGTGTCTTTGTCTCAGGGTTACCTGGAAGAGCTGGTCTGTCTACGAGAAGCCCAGCTGTCACAGGCTGTGTCTCATAACAAAGCTCTTCAGCAGAGCCTAGAAGACGCACACCTCTCCCACGCACTGGAGAAAGAACAGCTTGAGTACATCGTACTGGAACTACAGGACCAACTGTAAGTTCATCCTGCTCCGTGTGTGTGTGTTTGTCAGTGCATGTGAGGTTACTGACGGTGAGGTGGAGTGGACTTTGAGTTTGACATTCAGGACACAGCAAGAAGCCTGGAGGTTGCAGGTGGTTTGTTATTTGTGTGTTATTGTTATCAATGCTGCTTTTAGCCAAGAGGAAAAGCTGCATCAGTGTTGTGTCTCTAAATGTATGTTCTAATCAGTGAGACTGCCCTTCCTCTGTTTGATCACTAATTTAATGTAAGTTACAAAGTCTGTCAAGAGGATTTGTGTAACGATCTCTGGAAATGAAGCTGCAGTCTCAAGTCAGTGAGATGAGTCATTGGATGTTTTCCGATGCAAAAAGCAAAGTGGCATGCAGCGTCGACAGAGCGAGAGTCAGTGAATACACAGACAAACTTTGAGAATGTCAATGTGAGTCAGAGAGTATTTACACAGTCAAATATGCAGGTAATAGTGTGGGCTTCTGGGGCAGTTTGGAGCAGGGTTATTATCATCAGCCAATACTGAAACTAAAATAAAAATAAGCAGTGAAAAACATTGTAAGCTGAAACCAAATAAAAACAATATCTTAAGAAAAACTAAAGCTACAATGAAACTATATTGCCTTGTTAAAAAAAGTATACAAATAAAATAAAAATGTTTTTTAGCTGTAATATATCCCTACCGAAAAAAAGAGACTGCAGGAATTTCCGTCAATTGTCCAACCTGAGTAGAATCTGACAGTTTGTAAAAATCGCTATACAACTCTCTTCAATTTGGTTAATAAATAATTGTGACCCAAGATATGTAGTGGGACTTTATATATTGAAAAAAATAAACTTGCTAGTGCTCTTTATGGACAAACGTGTATCTGTAATGGTGACACCGTTTTCTTACTTTTCTAGTTTTTCTTTTTAGCTTTTTTGCAGAATCCTAAGAATTTATGTCTACTTCATTTATCCGAGAAGAATAAAAACGCAGACAAAAAAAGGTTTCAGAGTAGGTCCCAGTTCAAGCCTTTTTATGTTATTTGTGCCTTAAATTACTGCATTTAATGACTCCCCTTCTTTTTTTTATTTTTATTTCAAGTGTTTATTAATTTAAGGAATTGTCTCTGACTCTGGACGTCTATTGTCTTCAGGACGGTGCTGAAGAACAATGATTTGCAGTCCAGGCAAGAGTTGACCGCCCATCTGACCAATCAGTGGCCATCTCCTGTTGCCTTGGATACCAACGCAGTTGCCTTGGACACGCTGCTGTACAGGAAGAGAAGGGGCCAGTGGGAGGAGTATGTAGATGAGTTTACATCCTCCAGCTTCCAACTCATTATTACTTCTATTATTGCTCAATCTAAATGATTTATCGTTTATGATTTAATTGTTCACAAACAACTTTGGCTATTGTACAGACATAAAATACAGATTTTGTATGCTTGATCTTCCAAAAGGTATTCAATTTACATTGATAAGGAACTAAGAAAACCAGCAAATAATCAATTCTTTGAATCTGGAACCACCAAATGTTTGCTTTTTGTTTTTAAGTTGCTTGGACTCAATTTTTTCCTGTTGATTGACTAGTTGTTGCAGTACTAGTTATGTGTTTATTGATCCTCTATTTGCAGGAAAAGCTTCCAGAGTCTGGAGCAGCTGTCTGCAGACATGAGTCTCTCCCAGACGTCTCTTGAACCGTCACACACACTGAGTCTGGAGGCCAGGCCGACTGGCACACACTGGCATCACCAAGGTACGTCTCCTTCTGCGAGTGAGCAGAGTAGTCTCCCGGAGGGGGGATGCGAGCATTGATCACGTGTATCTTGTCATTCAGGTAAAGAGGAAACTCCATCTCTAAGAGGTCTGTGTGGCTCCCTGACCTCAGTCGCCAGCTACAAATCTTTGGCCAGTCTGAAGTCCAGCGAGTGTTTGGCCAGTCCTGCAACAGAGATCAGCAGTCCAGGCTTCACCCCCTCGTAATGAACGCAGAGCTAAATAAACAGATCTTCACCAGGGCCGGACAATCCAGGAACTTTTCTAAATGTAGGGGGTATTGATTTGTAGACATTTATTTTCAGAATGTTGAGCCTAGAGCTTTAACAGATGGAAGTCAGGTTTGCAAGTTGAGAATCTGGTGTAGCATGTTCTTTAAATTGTGTTAAAACTGAAAAGCAGCTCCATCAGGCTGAATAATGTCTGATTAATGTACCGTTCAGCTGAAACAACCTCTGACTCTTTATAGAGGATCTCCTGCTGTTACTTCATCAATGTGTTTAAATTATTTTGATGTGTTGGTTGTTTGTTTGTCTGTGGAGAATCGTTTTTTTCCATTTTAGGAAATTAATTTAAATAATAGTCAGCTGAACTAAAGACTGAAAGGTTTCCCAGGAGAGCTTAGCATGCTCACAACACTGACTGTAGATCAGATCAGAGTTCTGAGGAAACACACAATACTGATGGCCTCCGTCAGTCTCTTGTCACCATGAATTATTTCTTGCAGTTGAAAGTGTCTTTTATTATTTTCTGTGCCGTTACTGCTGCCACTGCCTTTATATAATTGTTTTTTAATCTTTAATGTATGATGAATGTAACTCTACTTTTGTCATATGTCATCAAATGATTTACATAATGCTGTCACATTTTGTTTACGGTGTAAATGTTTTCTCAGTTTCTTATGTCGTGCATAATACAGTGCAACATGTTTTGTTCTCAGGTGTTAATCCCCACGATTAATATTCACTATTTACCTCTAGATTTACTTCAATGTTCCACTTTATCAGACAGACTCCTGTTATTATTCCCGTTAATTACTCAAATGCAGTATTTTAATGGCTAGTTACCACAAACAGATCCTTCCTAAAACTCTGAATAATGATCTGTTACGACCCAGTAAAGAATATCTTGCAACAGATATTTTGAGAATGAGAAACAAGTGGCTTTGCCTAATATCAGTAAAACGTTTTATTATTGGTTACTAGCCGTGTACCTCAACACTGAATCATGACTTTCGTTTGAGTTCATTCCAGCAGTCATTTCCACAGATATGCAGATGTTTTATTGGATTTGTTTGCTTTTTATCCCACATTTTGAATAAACTACGCTTACCCAAACAGTTTGAATTTGATAGTGACATCTGAGTTTCTTGTCCACAATAAACAACAGGGGTGAGAATGCCTGTATAAAGTCAATGACTGAAAACAATCTCCAAAGAAGATCTGGTATGTATATTTAATACATCACATTTTCAAAAAGCCGACGTGTCACAGTCCTCTTCCACAGTCTCTTGTCAAACTGAAAAACACTCATGGCTTTACACTGGCACAGGTTTAGTGTTCGTCTCTCTGTCACACACATTCACAGGGGATTGTTATGGAAGTTTAAAAACATGGAGATCCTCTCTCTGTGTCGGGGAGGATACGCTGACTTGATGAAATTAATTTTACATCTCTTATGTAAGGACTTGAGGCAGTGCACACGATCCCAGTGAGACGAGCACATTTGAAGAATCACTTATTAACAAAACTGTAGCTGCCATCTGCTGGCTGTTAAATGCATCAGAAAGCATGTGATTTGAACACTGATGAGACAAAACATTATTTATTTTCAGTTGTGTGCACAGAATTTGTAGCCGCAATGACACAAATCATAGAATATTATAAATACTAATAAAAATAATTTCATATAAATCTTGTAGTGCAGAAATGGATCATGTAGTTCATTTTTTTTTTCACTTCAATATCTGCTTGTGTGATTTTTAATTGGGCAACATTACCCTTTTCCCTCCAGGTAGTCGAGCGGTATTTGTGTCTGGTTTGGAGAGAAATGACTAGAAAACTATCAGGTGTTACTGGTCTGCAGTGGGCCGAGTGTCCTCTCCTGGTTGCGTTTGCGGAAAAAGGCTTTGCCAAATTCATAAGTGCTGATCATAATGGCGCAAGCCGGGGCCACTTTAATCAACCTTGGGAGGAAACCTGGCAGAGAGACAACAGATAAGAGGATCGATTACATGACAAGTAGTTAGGTCTAATATAATGATTCACTAAATATCACGAGAGGATCTACCTGCAAACAGTCCACCAAAGCCGTCCTGCGTCACAATCCTGCTCATCACGCTGAAGGTGGAGGAGGAGACCCGACAGGACACTGATGAGACAAAGACAACAGTCAACATCAAAGGACTTAACGGATTAAGTGTCAGAACAACCTGTTTGTCTGGACCTCACAGCCCTCTCAGACGAGCTCACGTACCTTTTCATCAAAACCACTTGTCATGTTCTAAATGTGCGGATTTGAACGTATTTACAATCCCTTTATTTATAGTTTTCCTTTTTTCCTCCCTTAAGTAGCTTTAATGTTGAAAAACCCCAATCCTATTCCAATCCTAAAACGTGCCCCTGGTTGGGAATCCACTGATGTTTTGATGACATTTGTAATCTTCAAAAGCATTTACTAATTAATATAACAATACAGAATAGCAGCATAATTACAGTTCTTTGCTTGTAGCTCTCCCAGCTCCAGCTGCCTTCTCGTTTTAACGACATCAAAAGGTAACGTTACAATGGACGCGATCTGAAAGAGATGGAAATATGTATAAATCACTATTTATGTTCATTAATGATATTTTCTGTGGAGTTCTGTTTCTACAGGGTAACAGGCTGAATGCTGATGCACTTACAGAGCCAGACACCGCTCCGGATAAGAAGGTAACTGTAAACGTGGGTTCTCTGGTGTTATATAGTTCACACAGCCAGCTCTTGCCCTTCTCATAGTTGTACCAGTACATGGCTGAAAAGGGCACGTCTCGGTAGAGTGTGGGCCCCAAACCTCGCCACAGAGACAGCCAGCCCTCTGTCCGCACTGCAGAGCGGATGCAGTCAGTCAGCTCCCTGTACGACTGTTTCTGAGACTGCAGCTTCGTGCGGATCAGCTCCAGAGGGCTGATCACTGTCGCTGAACCCACTGACACACACACACACACACACACACACACACACACACACACAGCAGAGAGAAAAAGTTCAAAACACATGTTCACTTGCTGCGGGATTGAAAAAAAAAAATAAAAAATCATACTTTTAGGGCTGTCCTCGACCAAAGAAATCCTTTGTCGATTGACACGATTTTGTCGACTAATCGATTCGTTGATTTAATCGACATATCTGTAAAACTGATTTGAAAAAAAAATCCCCTTAAATATCCCCATGTTTAAATCTTGTGTTTACCAGAGATGTGTTCAGACATTTCTTGGAAATAAGTTTAAAAAAAAAGCATGAAAAACAACTCATCAACCAAAGAAATCCTAGTTGACGAGACAGAAACGCCTATTCGACTAAGAGGGTGTGTGTTGCGTTCTCTAAAGAATAATTGGATGCAGACGATCAACAGTGATTGATGTTGACAATTGTAACAAAGAGCTGGACGGCAGTCAGCTCACCTCTAGCGATAGCTCCTGCCAGAAGAGGAGCCTCCTGAGCGCAGTCTCCCATCCTGACCCTCAGCACCGCACACAGCTGGTCGTAGCACGTAAAGTAGATTACTGTAGCAGGGACTGCCATCACACTGGAGACAACACACATGGAAAATAACCATATATTATGCCTTAATCAAGATTAGTCCAAGCAGGGGAAATTAAACCACAAAAGCAACACCAACACATTAATTAGCAATGTGATTCATTAAAGAAAATGCCATTAAGATAATACTTAACATAAATCAATCATTGGTAATCAGCCCACAAGACAACCTGGGGTGGTTTGCCACTAATTGGCACAACTTCAAATGAAAGCCCCCTCAATGAGCGCATCAGCTGCAGGCTAAATGACTGTCGACCAAACACATTTTCTATGTAAGTGGGGTCTAAGAGGAGAGCAGGGAGGATGAAGTGCAGCAAGGGAATAAAAGAGACACAGAAGACTTCTCACTCACAGGGTCGGAGGTAGACCACTCCATAACGCCTTTATTCCATCATGGCGTACTATCTTGACGAAGGCATCCTGCAGAGACGCAGTGTGAAGTCAGTGTAGGAAGACGTGCTTGTCTGACTAGCTTTTATATTTGATTTGGTAAAGAGTTACTGGTGGAATGGGTAGCTGAAATGGTTACCAGTGTGCCATTGAAGTGACTGGGGGCTTTGTACCAGGCCTTGGAGTTGCCGTTTTCACAGACACATATGTGGTCCATAAGTCCATTGCAGTAGACAAAGCATTTCCCTGAAAGATATTGACAGAAATGTATGTGGTCATTTAATATTTACTGTATTAAACACAATACTTGACATACTTGATCATAATACCTTTGGGAAAGGGATTTTTCTGTGATTGCAGTCTGATCTTCACGACATCCAAAGGTGTAACTGAAAAAAGGAAAACGTAACATGAACCTCCATGTATAAAATTTGGTACACTACAAATTTTGGAAAATGTGATGTCTTTTAATACAAAATGTAAATGTTCTGTACTTGTAATACACCAATGCTTGAAAAACACAAGTCTAAAGGGGAAATACTGTCATTACACACGACAGATGAATAGTCTCTAGTATCTCACCCAGCACAGATGTGAGGATGGCTCCGGAGCAGGACGCCACCATCTGTTGAAGTGGAGTAATGCCATTCAAGGCTGGAGGAGCAGGACTTTGACCACTCATACTGTATTCTTAAAGAAAACAAAGACACGGTGTTTATAATATGCATGACAGTCATCATGTAAACAAGAACCGTATTTGCCAAAGGTGCTAATTAGCGATCACTGAAACGTTAAAACGTTATTATAACATCCCAGGTGTTGTAACATTAACCTACATGGAGAAGAGAGCTCTCTAGTCAACCCAAGGTAGCTAACTACTTACCGCTAAACCGCCCCAGCATCTACGAAGTCTCCCATTAAGAAGCACATCACTCTCAGGGTTTAAAGTTTCCTGAAACAGGTTCAATCGGAAACACGTGTATGCTTCGGGGTTGTAACCTTAGCTCGCTGCTTAGTTTACTCAGCAAACGCACCATACAATATTAGTTACACGATGACATTTCCGTGTACATTCCAGTATTAGTTTCAGCAGAGCACATTCTTGGAAATTTCTTAATTGTATGATACATTAAATACAATAATGGTCATACAAAATATTTGCACATACAATGTAAACAATGTTGTTGTAAAAAAAACTATTTTAGCTATAGATTTTTAACGTAACGTTATCTTTTTTTTTTTTTTTTTTTTTTTTACAGTAATGTGGAAACATCACATTCAAACTGAAAGAGAGCATTTACTTATTTCTGAGGTTGCCAGGGTTGAAGAGTTTCCGTAAAACCAGAAGGGACGACAGAAAGCGTTCACCAAAGACGGAAAGTTATTTTTTAAGAAAAACAATCTGAACTCTATGTTTTTACAATTACACTCTGATGTGAGTATAAACTGGGAACTTAATGCATTTAAACGTGACAGTGGTTACGTGACCAGAAAGTGTCAAACATGGCAACACAGACCTCCTCCACCATTGGATTTAAAGCGGGAAAGATACGTGTTTGTGAATTGTAAACTGAATAGCGAGTGTCTTAACAGTTGTAAAATACCCTGCCAATGCATACTTTGCTGTAGCAAACGTTTCATCATTATTGTTATTATAAATTTCAGCTCACGAAATAATTTAGCGTAAGTTGCGCAAAGCAGCTAACGTTAACCGACAAAGCTGTCCGCCGGGGAAACGATAACTAACGTTAACGTTAAGACGGTAAGTTACAGTTTAAATGTTAGTAACGGGAGCAGTGAGCACTAACGAACAGTTATATACGTAACGTTACGTTACACTGCTCATGTATTAGTTTTCAGGCCCCCCTTTGTAAATAACCCTTTCTTTGTTTACACACAGCGGACAAACAAGGACTTCCATGTTGACTCAAGACAATACAAACATATTGTCTCAATGCAAGAGAATAAAATGAAGCCGAAGCGCACCCAGAGACAAACAGGACCCAAATGGCAAGGTACGTTAATGTTATTATTTACTAACGTTAACGCCACCATGTTACACTAAACTTTTATTTTTAAAACCAAAGTCTGTTTCCGTGTTTTCGAGTTAACGCTAGCTACGTTTGAAACGTAAGGGTTACGCCAACTTAATGATTAGATCATTGATCAGTAATGTAATGAATGGTTTAAAGTGATTCATCACTATATTGAGTAGTGAACACTTATTCAAGCTCTTCAGCTGATATTTAGGGGGCTCATCAATCTCCCTCCCGCATCCTGTTACTGTACTTTGCAGGGAAAGGAGTCAGCACTGGTGACAAAGCAATGCTGAGCCAAGCTAAGCCAACATGTTTGTCCTCTGCTGCTCAAGTCAAACCTTTTGCTGGGAAAGTGTTTTTCCTGGATCTGCCTTCAAACAGGATAGCAGAGACATTGGAGAGTGACATCAAAGACCTGGGAGGGGTGAGAAAAAAACACACATTTTTCCTATTTTTGTGGCTTTCAGAAAAGGTTTGAATCTTTGTCATTTCTCCTGTACCAGCTCGACATATCCATGAAGTTACAGAGTTATTCACAACAAGTAATGTTATATTTCCTCCAGGATTCACCCAGCTTTCTCCTCTGTTTGGTGGCATTGTTACAGAACAATAATGGTTTAACATCTTGTCTTTAGTTGCTCTTGCATAGTTTCCTTTTTTAAAAAAACTCTGTATATATTTTTATTTTTTTTAAACGTTCTTCTTGTGTCGCTGCACTTACCAGACTTTCCAAGGTTTATTTTTTCTTCGTTATGATACTATTTATGATGATTGCAATATGATAGAAGTGCTGGGTATTTGTTGACATTTTGAAATATTAGTGGCAGAGAAAATATCTGAGTAAATTAGATTACAAATCAGACTCGGAGGATATTGAATGCCAGCGTCTGTGCTCGACAGTTTTCAAAACTCTGTCATGGACACATTTCGATTAGTACTAAACATGAATTTAGATTGGTTCCCTCTGTGTTTGCAGTTGTTATTCTGGAATGAACTGTTCTACAAGTCTTAAAGCTTTCTCTAAAAAGGTGATCCTGTTTTCTCTCGTTTGTCACTCAGACTGTTGAAAAGTTCTTCAGTAAGGAAATCAAATATCTGGTGTCCAACAAGAGGGAGGCTAGATATGTGCACTGCATCAGACAGGACTCTCCTGTTCCCAGCCCGAACTCTGGCCCAAGTTCACCTCCCCCCCGATCAAACTGGGACACCATCAGAAGCAAGTCTCAGGGCCAAACAGACACCGTGAGTTCACTTTCATTCATCAGCTGTAGTGCAGACATGTTTTTAGGTCTATTTCACATCTAGCCTGTGCAATTCCCTTCTTGATCATTTTCACTAAGTATTAATATCATAGATTTTCTTTTTTTGTCTTTCAGTTTGTTCCAAGTCGAGGGAAGTCTTTGGTGGAGAAAGTGGTGAAAGAGCAGGTTTGTTAGATCAAGACTGAGTTTAGTGAGGAACTTTAACTGCCGTTTGTCTTCTCTGTGCTTATACACATTTGTTTGCTTTTAGGAGAGGGTGAAAATGAACAAGATCCTGTCAAATGCTCTGGAGTGGGGGGTGAAAATCCTCTACATAGATGGTATGCTGTTGATAACGTAACAAGCTGATAAAACCTTTTTTATTCATTTTAATGTATAAATGAAAATAATGATCTTTTATGTCACTTTCAGATATAATCGCATATGTTAAGAAGAAAAAAAAGATTGTCAGTAGCCGGTGTGCTGCTACCACTGCCGTCAAAACAAGTGTAGGTTTACGGGTTCAAATTCTTAAATGAGTTTTTGTAAAGATTGAATCACATTATGGGATTGTTATCCTAAAAATGATTGGTTTAATGTTGTAAAATTGTGTTTTTAAATGCTTATTCTTTATAGGTCAAAGCTGAGTCGTCAGTAAAGCAAGGCTTTCAGAAATGCAGAGGTAAATGTAATCTTGTTATTAACCAGTCTTTTATTTCTTTTCGGTAGAAATGTGTTCCATTGTTTTTGATGCTTTGTAAATATGCTCAACTTTAAATGGACTATGAATGATGTTTGTTCCAGGAGGGCGAATCACTAAACCTTTCGTCAAGGTGGAGGATTCAAGCAGGTAAGAGACAGAAGACTAAACGAAGCTGCACTGTCTTTGAGTTGTTTACGACATCTATTGATTGTGTTCTGGTTCTTTCCCCTTCCACAGACACTACCGACCAATCTACCTCACCATGCCGAACATGCCCGAGTTCAACCTGAAGACGCTTCCTCCCTGTACTCCCTTCTGTGTCGACGACAAGCTTCTTCCTGGAAACAAACAGCCGGGACGCAGGTATGTTGATTCTTCTCTGCTTTGCTTTCAGATAATTTAATGTGGACAGTATGTCACACGTTCACAAAGACTGTATTTTTAATTTTTAAATGTATTTGAACCACCAAATCACACCTAAGATTCTTCTTAAGAGGTGGCAAAGTTAGTTATACTAACTAACTTTTGCACCCAGCTCTCTTTGTATTTTTAGTAATCTATATCTTTTACATTTTTGTTATTTATTGACATTCTGTTAATGATGTCTGTCAATGGTGTTGCTCTGTTTTTAATTCATACGGTGTGATGAAGAAACTTTATTCCAGCATACATTTCTACACATTTATGTGTAAATCAGTCTGACACATTTTGTATCTTTTGAAACTTTGGGATCTTGAGTAGAATTTAAGGGTCTGTGCGTTTTGAAAAGTGCTTGTCCGCACAATTTGAAGTTGGTACTCTTAGAGCCACCCATCAAGACTGAATGAAATTCATCAAAATGTCTACAATCCAGACTGTTTTCACCTTAGTTTGGTTTTATTTGTGCAACCTCTGGGATCAGAGGTGCAAAAGCCTCGGCCAGTGAAGAGCTCGCAAACGGCCGAAAGAAGAACAAAGACAAGAAGCGAGGCGGCTACTGCGAGTGCTGTATGATCAAATATGAGAACGTCACAACGGTGAGTTACCGCATGTAAAAGTGAGAACTGTCAATGCAATACCAAACAATAACTTATACTGAAGTGCCAATATGAAGATTCATGAGCAGACCTACCTTTTATGTCTTTATTTTGAATGACTATATGGAGCTATTCTTATTGAATGTGATTATATTTCACCTTATTTGTTTGAATTAACCACAATTTTCTTTGAATACCTAATCATCAAAGATGTGTTTAGACATTATTTTGGCGGTATTTGGTCATGTGCAATGACCAGGTCTTGCACACAGTGTTAAGTTCTCGTTTATAACTGCTGATGCTAGTAATTCAGTTTTTAACACAGAGTAGAGTGATATACTGTATGTATGGCATCCTATTAAATCAAAAGAATTCCAGATTATATGTAGTCTTGTACAAAGCTGTTTATTACGATATATTCATACAGGGTTAGTAAATTAGCGTTACAACAGTGCATCTAGTCCTTGTGCATAAATGTGTTACAATTCTAATGCTACTGTGATTTGTTGTATTTTTGTTCAGCATCTAAAGAGTGAGCGTCACAAGGCTTTCTCCAAGAGTGACGAATACTCGGTGGTGGACAAACTGGTTTCAACTCTGCACTGCAACTTCCTCATCCAAACAAAAGCTAAAGGGTAACTTGTCCACATTCCTTCTAAAACGTTCATCAACATTAAATGTTCACATGTAGATAAATGTGTTTTTGACCTTTTTTATCTTTCTATTCCACTCTACTCACAAAACCTTTTCTTTGATTCCTGTTTAGACCTAAATGCAGTGTTTCCTCTGTTCTGATGGCTCCGGGACCGTTTGGGACGACTGTGCAAAGACACGAGGGAGATCTCGACAACACGGAGATTATTAAAGGAGAAGAGCAGCATCGGACTGTCGATGAGGGATCTTATTCGGCACACACTTTACAAATAGGATCAGTCACTGGTTCCACTCCTCTGAGTCCGAGAGAGAGGAGGAGCCATTACACTCACCCAGACAGATACACGCACAAATCTCTTGCACGTAAACAGCCGTGCAGAAAGAATTCTTTGACTTCTTGCTCTCAAAAAGCTGAGCAGGCTCAAATTCCCGAGCCCAGGATGGAAACAGCCCCCTCTAGAGGTGAATGTGTTGCCTCTATTCCCTCCAGAGTTACTCCGGTCAACAAGGTGGACCAAACAACAACAACTCCAGATGTGAACAGCTCAACCTCCTGCTTCCATAATGTGATTATCCAGAATGAAGCTTCCTTAAAATGCCTTGGTGTCATAACAAATCAACAAGAGGAGTCTGATGGGAAGCAGGGTTCCTCAGTGTGTGAGGCTGTTCACGACGGAAACATATCGGTTGACAAAATGACTGGAAACGACCTCTCAGAAAGAGAAGAAGAAGAAAGTCTTCCTTCACACAGCTTCTCTCCGCTGCGGAAAATACAGAGGAGGGTGAGAGTTTATAAACGAAAGAGACGGAAAGTGGACACACGCGTTGAAAGCGTAAAGCAGAGAGACATTCCAGACAACTTCATGCTGAAGCTCTGGGACCTGTTTCAGTCAACTGATGACATGGATGTGGAATTTCTGGGGTTTGAGGACTAGTGAGGGAGACATGAACTGGATTATTATTGAAACATGCCACAGTCTGTGCCGTGGACTCTACAAGCCACTAGATTCTTCTGCAGTTTGAAGACAGCAGAGTGAGTCAGATGAAGGGCAGCTATGATGTGTGGATTTGGTATTTAGCATTGTATAAGATATAAAACCTGAAAGAGGTAAACCAGCATAATTACCTTTTACAGAATTGAATCCAGGTAAAAGCAATCTATTTTGTGAAGAAAAAATAGGTTTTCATCATATTTTGCAAATTTATTGTGGACTGAATTATCCAGTATTTGCCCACAACCGGTCTAAGTCGCTTTAGTCCTGAAATGATTCCATAACATTCTTCAGTTTTAGACAGAAATCAAGTTCAGCCTCTCTCTAACTTCAACTCTAAAATGTAGTTTTATAGAGAACATTTCTAGACGCCATGAACAATACAAGGCCACCTGCAGAAAAAACACCCCAAAAAAAAAGTATTAAAGAGGCCGCCTTCTAGACATGCATTTTACTTTGACAAATTTTGAAACCTTTTTATTGCCAAATGAAAATCTATGAAATTCCACTGTGTGAATATATTTGTAAGTTTAGTTTCTATGCGGTCGTTTCCACTGAATACTGTTGCAGGAAAGGGAGCATCTTATTAAAAAAAGGCAGCTTTATTAATAATATTTTACACAGTAATCTGGAGAAAGGTGGTTTGAATCTTTCAGACATTGAGAACTGATTGTTTACATATGGTTGCATATGTATTGTATGTGTGGTACTTGATATTATATATGACATTTTAGGATTCTTCCTAAGTGCACTTTTCCCTGCATCTGGTGCATTAGCATAGTGGCCTTGTTCTCCCACACTGCTCTCTAAGTGATGCTCTGGGTCAAATGGGAGTCTCTGTGCCACTGACTTTAAGAAAAAGACTTGAGCAACAACGTGTTCCGAGTTACAAGCACAGCACAAATAAACTGGCAAAGGTGAAACTGAATGCGCATCATTTTTTTCTTCTCCATCCATTATCTATACACGCTTATCTTTGATCAGGGTGGCCGGGGCCTGAGTCTATACACCTACTGACTCGCACAGACAACTATTCACACTCAAATGTTTGCACCGTTACTGCAAATTTAGAGCCTTCAATCCGCTTACATGTCTTTAAACTAGTGGGAAGAAGAAAACACAGACACGGGGACAACATGCAAACCTAACACACCACAGACCTTCTGGATAAGTTTGTCATTATACCGTTCAAAGGTTTAGAATCCTCTGTTAAGGTGTATTATTTTCATTTTAAACGGAAGAATTACATAATTAAACCTTATGTTTATTCGATGTCCCGATAGTGTTGCATGACGGGGGAGAATTATGTTGGAACTTGGATTTTGAATTTGTTTTCCAGTACACAAAAAGCACAAGTGACCCTCCACCATTATCGAACCACAACACGGTGCAACTGGGCTCTGCATGTTTTGGAAATCCGTTTTTCTTTAAAACATGAACGACATGCATACACCGAATCCAAACTTTTGAACTGCAGTGTACAGGAGTTTGTTTATTATAAGGTGCATTGAACAAATGAAAACAATGGGGACAATTAAGTTTTCACATCATGTTCGTTGGTTGTTTTCGATCCATTATAAACCTGAAATGGCATTAATATCTTCTGTTGAACTCTTTCCCAGAGCCACATTAGCATGTGATCAGCTTCAGGAGCAAGTCCACACCAGGTTTAGTCATCTGTGTAGGTCTTTCTAAACATGTCCCTGGTTGTTGTTTTGGCAGAACTGGAAAATATGACAGGAATTAAGCGATCAATTGTGCCATATAGGGACAACATTTATAAAACATCCACGAAAACAATATCACCAGACACTAGGGATTTATTAATTTTCCCGTTTTGACAACAAGTGATGGAGTGACTCATGATAATAAAAAGGCTGATTTTGGACAGGAATGGCGCTCCTGAACGAATTAAACATGGACGAAGGTGGAAGAGGCGAGCGATGATATCAACCCAGTCGGCGGAGGACCGGGCCCGCAGCTTTTCACCATCCCGTCTCCACAGCGCGCTCATATTTATGCATTAGGCGTTTCTGCAGTGAGCCGCTGGATATTGATGTGTTTTAAGGAGGTGTCCCCAGTCCTCTCCTCCCATACATCCCTCCCCCTCCCTGTCTCTCTCCTCCACGCCTCCTCCGTGCTGCTGATCCGCGGGGTGTCGGTGCGCTCAGACGCGCTCGGCGTTCAGACTCGTAAGGACCCCGATGGCCCCTAACCAGAGGGACTGCGCTAACAAGACGACCAGCCCAGGCTTCAAGCTCCCCTAGCGAAGGCAGGACCCCGAGAGCCTGCTCCTGGAATACCGCATTGTTTTGTAATTTCCAACAAGAGAGAGAGAGAGAGAAAGCGGATGATGCTGATGATGCGCCCGCGATGGTGGATTTCCCTTTTGTGCGTCTGTGGATTGATGCACGTCGGTCAGCAGAGCAGCCCTAATGCCCAAAATGGTAACTGATGCTGTTTTAGATATTACATTAATTATGATCCCGTAAACAAAGCGTTACATCACCATTAATGGGCCCGTGTTTGTTTGTTTTGTGTATTATAGCTTCGGCTACTTCATGGTCTCCATCTCGAATATGTAGCCTGTAGCTGTTTCGTGTTTATCAAAGGAAATGGGACCAATCGACATTTCAGACGGCGCTATTTGTGATGAATGTGTAACTGTTTCCCGCACGGAGGGACAGACGGGTAATGAAATCGGTGTTTTCCTCTCTGTGCAGGAGACGCCTTGTCGAGCTTGAAGGCTCTTCGTGATGCGGGCAGGTTTGTCGGGAAGGAGGACACGGTGCCTCTCCGCCTGCTCTACAGCAGGCACAACCACAGCCAGATCACCGAGGATGAGCTCAGCACCCGGGTTAAAGCCAGCTCCGGCTCCACACAGGTAGCCCACACCGTGTTTTCTAGCGTGTCCGCTTGGAGGCTGTGTGTGTATATGCGCTGCTCTCTGTTTCCTGCGTGTTTATATGTTGCATTGGTTCGTCTCCTCCTCTGCCCTTCTCCTCAGAGGGGGAATTAATAATGTGTTAATTACAAGCAAAACACAAAAAGCTTGAAACATTTAGGCAGGAACAGGGCACTGTAATTAGACTGTCTGCGGGTGCTACATGGGTCATCACTGCCTTCATATGCAAAAAAACCGAAACGGATCACTCGATCCTTGAACTGCTATTACATTTTCAGCACATTGATTGGTCCTCAATTGTTACTCTGTCAACACTGCACATTTACTGAAGTGAATCAGCTGTAGTCATCTGGCCAACAATGAGGATTCATTATTTAGTGATAACTTGCATCCTATGTGTCCAGCTGGGTTGCTGTCCCAGCATCTGCCTCACCGATACCCATTAAGCAGCATTTTTCACTTTAGTCATCAATGAAACTCGCCAGAGATGAACTGTTGGAGATCGATTGATACATCGTGGTGCACGATTTTATCAGCAGAATTATAGGAGAGCCGATATGAACCAAGAAGTGGCATTAGAGAAATGTTAATTTAGAAACCGTGTCGCCGTTGCATAGCCTGTCCACCAAAGGGCAGTGACTTTAAAGTTTATTTAGGTGTTGTCCCACCTTGCTACATCTGTTCGCAAATCTGTAATAGCCAAATTTCCTTGTCAAAAATGTTGTTTTCTTTAATGTGTTAATGTTCAACTTTTCACTGATATATTATCAGTTTCTTTTAACTGTGAAATATCAATATTGTCTCAATTCATTATCTTTTTTGCTGTACTAGCTGAATATCTGAGGATGACTGTGATAATCTGCAGGAAATGTGTTTTTCCAAAGAGGGATTGATTTCCAAGATAATTCATTCATTCAAATAAGAATATACATATGTTCACGGTTATTTCCCATTATTTTGCAATGTAGCCAGTGTTTGGAACAAGAGAACACTGTTGGCTTGTTGGTAAAGCATGCAATGAATGGGTTAAAATTAGTTTGGACATGACCTCCCACTAAAGTCACTATGTAACAAAGTATGCAGAAAGCTGTTTGTGATTATCTAAACCCAATGAGCAACACGACATTGTTTAACAATGAAAGATGTCCACATAGTTATAATGATACGTTGCCGCAATAATCATCATCAACTGTAACTGTGTTCACTGACTCAGTTCTGTGGAGCAGCATTTCTGCTGGGTTTGCTTCAAGAGATGAGTCAATTAGCATTGGGCAAGCCTGTCGTGCGTTTTTAATTTGTGCGGCTCAGGTTTGTGTAGGCCAGCTTATTCAGGGCTCAGAGAGTGGAGAGGGCTACAGATGGCAGCAGGCAGGGAGGTGTTAACCCTTTGTCGCTCTCACACCTCCGACGGAGCTGCAGCCCGATGGGTTAACAAGCTAACAGGAACCATCTGCCATTAGATATCATTTAGATATTTTCCTTTTGAAGCCGATACTAATCTCAATCACAGGTTTGTCGCGGAACAAATTTAAAGCGTTTAAAGCGAGGAGAAAAACTGACTTCTGCAGAGCTACGGAACTTTTTTACTTCCTACACAGATTCTTAAAAACATTTGCTCAAATCATGCCTGAAACCTCATATTTTCATATTTTAAGTGAATTTCCTTCGCTGAAGCCGGTGATGATAAGCGTGTTATTCCTGAGTTTACAGCTCAGGAGATGTGTTTATATTACTCCAAAAAATGTATTGAGTCAGCTCATGATTATTAAAAATAACGGGCAATCAGTAACAGCCTCAAAGTTCTGATTAAGCTATAAAATAAACATTTAAAGTCAGGATTAGATCCAGGGTAGGAGGAGGAGGAGGAGGAGACGGGTGCTTTGATTTGAGTTCTGATGTTCTGAGTCTCTTATTCTCCAGACAGAGTTGAATCTGGTCCGCAAACATCCGTGCACAAAGTTTGATCAGTTATTTGGCTGTTTTTAGATCAACAGCCTAAAAACAAATCTGTCAAATAGTTCTGAAAATGTGTGACACTCAGCAGGTTATTTATAGACTTCTGTTGCGTTGCCTATTTTCAGTTTCACCGCTGATTGAGCAATGTGGAGTTCAGCAAAGTGCTTATGTTGTTTTGGTGGCAAAACAAACTTTAAGTGGAATCTGTGTGTGTTGGTTTGTCTGTTTGCCTTCCCGCCTCTCAGTCTGCGTGCAGTGCATTGATAGCACTTACACTCATACTTTGACAGTCGTGAGTGGAAAGTCCGGCCTGCTATAACTCAGAAATCAATGTAAGAAGAGTCAGTGCTGGCTTCAGAATATTGGCCCAGCTCAGTCAAGCTGGGATGCACTTTCATTAAACACAATTACTGGTACCTCCTCCCATCATGGATCCAATCTGCCAGATTGGATTTCATCACAAGTGTGCCATGGAAAGGGATTGCCCTTTGTGCCGTGCTCACACCCACACACCCTCTTACCCGCACATATATGCATTGACCATGCACAGACACACGCCTACAAACAATAGTCTGTGGTCAGTGGGGACCTCAGAGGCTCAGGTCGTCCTTGGGTGAGCACAGAGGCACCTCCTCAAATGAAAATAAAAAAAACAGCCCCACCCCCCACCTCCTCTCGTTGTCATGCAGTGTCTGGTTTGTAATGAAGGTAGCTCTCGGGCCGAGTCTGGGGGAGGGTGTGCTGTGTTTTGGCTTAGCCCTGGGACACCTCTGGACCTGCACAGGAATGATTGTGAGGAGTTCTCATTGACCAAGGGTGTGTAATGAAGCCTGTAACACATGTGTCCAGAGCTGGGAATGAATCAGACCCTCCTCCAGCCAAATCAATCACACGCAGCACATGCAGTCAGAAAAGACTGTGCCTTTGTATGTTTCTGTGTATACATATCAATGCTGCCAGTAAAAAATATGCTTCAGTGGAACTGTTACAAACCCAGTCTGGTAAACAGAAATGAATGGTCAGCAGGATAAAAATAATATATGTGTGTTTACATAAGTGTGTGTAATTGTATTTCATATTTGTGGCTCAAGTGTTGCGTGAGACCCTTTGCAGAAATTCAGATGAAGAAGACAGACCTTGATGGCTTAATTAAAACACCCTTATCCTCACTGGTGATTGGTGCTGAAAAAGACAATGCAGCCATCCATCAATGTAGAGGAGAATTGACCCTTGCATATCATGATGAATTGATCCATGAATATGATAACAAGTGTCGTTAGTTATAGAAGATAACCTGTCGTCTCTGCCTTTTTTAGGTGAACCATGTGGCCCAAGCAAGCTTTCAAGTCGACGCTTTTGGCAGAAAATTCCTCTTGGATGTGGAACTGAACCAGTGAGTATTGGATTCTTAAATCTGTCTATGTGGCTCGCTGACTATCCACCAATCTGTTGTTATAACTGTCTGGTTGACGTCTTCATTGCAGATGTGTAGGTACCTTTAATTTGCCACTTGCTTAATAAAAAAAAAAAAAAAAAAGCTGTGGCTTAGTTGACAATCACAAAATGATTTTTGATTAAATGAAGATGGATTCCCTTTTATTCCCTAAATGTCCATAAACATTCTCATGCTTGTTGAAATGATCCCAGCAGGAGTCATACGTCATTCTCTTGGGCCTGAGCAACACTTCCCCAAGCACACATTATGTTAATCGAGCTTAAGTTGGGCATTTTGGTTCTGCTGGACAGAGTCAATATGTTCCTGCTCTCGTATTGCTGTGTGTTGCCTGTTTTTGATAATGTACTCTTAGGTCATAAATATCTAGTACTAGTGTGTGCTGAAGAGGGCATTTGTTTGAACGAATATATGTGTGTGTGTGCGTGCGTGTGTGTGTGTGTGTGTGTGTGTGTGTGTGTGTGCGTGCGTGCGTGTGCGTGCGTTCGCAGCAGGTCAGTTATTGTGTGTGTGTGTATGATTTAGAGGCTCCATCATAATAGGAAATGATTTACGGTAAAGGCTGGAGCACTGCCCTGTCAGACATTGATATTGATCACAGCACTGCTGATGGAAACAAGCAACTCTCTCTCCTTTTTTTCCACTCGCCCTCTGTCTCTCTCTCCCAAGACTTTTTAAAAATCACCCTTTTTGCCATCCTTCTCTCTAAACCTCTCTGTGTTTGCTTTGTTTCTGTTTCCCTCTTTGAGACCGTGGCTTGTTTGTCTGATTTAGCCCCTAAACAGAAAAACAAAAAAGCCTGTGAACACACATACAGTGATGCTGCCTGCTCTTCACAGCGGAAGTCACTCCCCTACTGAGAGAAACGTTACATCACAGGAATTCCCACATTTAGAGGATATGTTTGTGTGAAGCCTGCAGCTCACTGCGTGACACATCAACCAGTCATGAATAGAAACGTGTCGTCCGCACGCACACACTCACACACACACACACACACACACAAACGCATACATGTATGCAGAAGCTGTCGCACATGTACGTACACTTTCATTAGCGCTTGGTTTGATGCCGAGTTTTTGACATTGAGTCATTATTCGTGCGTGTGACATTGTGTGCTTACAGCAACCGTTTTCCATAATTTCTTCACTGGATGTGATGCTGAAGGTCCGTCAGAATGTAGATGGAAAGGAAACCCTTAAATGAAATCCGGTTTTTAGCTTTTCCACTCAGTGAAGTAGCCTCCATCCAGACAGCTCCGGGCAACAGTTTGACACGTGTGGTTCTGAATAAGAATGAGAGACTGAGATCAGTGCAACAGAGCATTGTACTATGTGACATTCATCTGTTTTTATTTGGTAGGGCTGAAACAATAAGCCAGTACAAAGAAAAACTAACAAACAACAATATCAAACATTTCCTAGTTCCAGCTTCTCATGTGTGAGGATTTGCTGCTTTTCTTTGTTTTATTTGATCATAAAATGAATAGCTTTAGATTTCGTAATGTTGGTAAAACAAGCAAACTGATGCTATAGGAAACTGTGATATTAAGAAATTAAAGAATTAGTCGATTAATTGATCAGTCAATTGACAGGAAATTATTCTGAATCTATTTTGAGAATCAATTAAATGATTAATCATGCAAGATTTTGTGGATTCAGTTCAATTGTGAATATCCGCTGCTTCTCTTTTTTTACATCATTGCAAATTGAATATCTTTGAGTTTTTGGATGGAACAAGAAATTGTGAAAATAAAAAAAATAAAAAGAAAATCAACAGATAAATCAACAATGAAAATAGTCCTTACTTGGAGCCCTGTGTACATCGTGATTGGTATTGTTTAAGTTGTGGGCATGTTTTGTTTTTTTGGCTTCTCAGTAAGGCAGAGCTCCAGTTTCCCCTCTGTGTCTCAATGACTCCACCCCAGATTCCTCTTCTTGCTGCCCTCCTCTCTCATCATCATCGTCCTCTACCACACTCCTCTGTGAACTGATCCCCCGCTTGACAGCCACACTGATTTTGTTTACAGATAGCTTTCATGCCAGACAGATTAAACCCAGTTGATGTGTGTGCGTGGGTGCAGGAGTAGGAGGCTTTTTAGCTGAATGGGCCAACAGTTTTCTTTTGGCCTCCAGTATCAAAACTGAGTTCTCTCATTTTGGTCAATGACTGACTCTGCTGCTGTGCATTTTTTTGCGTTTTAATTGTTGAAATTAGCAGTAACATTAAAGCTGTGAACGTAGCAGTGCCATATGTGTACGCTTAATTAGTTTAAAGAAATGTTACAATTCCTCAAGACCCAAGCTAACTTCCTGTGTCTTGCTTGCGACCTGCTGATCAACATTAAGTGGGTTAGCGACAACTTCGGCCTTGACGCAACTTAGATGGGCTGACCTATTATATGACAGTAATTGTTTTTCAAAAAATATATTATCACATGATAACAGACATTTCATTTTTAAGCATCCATCCGTCCTTCGATGCATTTTCTCTTCAGGGTCATGCAGGCTGCCTATCCAAGCATTCACTGCACAAGAGGCAGGGTAAACCCTTGAGAGGAGACAAAAAAATTAGGGGATTTTGGGAAACAATTGGACAAAATGTTCTGTATGGTGAGAATAATCAAGTATGTTAATGTTCAGTCGTTAGTTCTTTCAGGAGCAAAATGTTGACATTAGTCACCCATCTGAAGTGTGACAGTCTATAGAGAGGAAGTCAGGAGGGGGTTGGTGGGTCATGGGGTCTTTCCTCCCCCTCTGTCTTTGTCTTCCAGCGGCCTGCTACAATTTACCATTCATGGGCTTGAGTTAGCTGAAAATGTGCACAGGATGGGGGTTGCCTCTTTTTTTAAATCTCCCACAACCCCAATACACACACACCTACACACACACACACACACACACACACACACACAC